CCAAGGTCCTAACTACATAGAATTCAATATAAAAATTCAAAGTTAAATTATTCAAACATGCGAAGGAATTTAATGTTGCGATAAATGGATGAATATGTCCATTCATTAAAAAAAAAAAAAGAAGAAGTTAAAATTCACCATTTTTTCCAGTAGAATTCACAATTAAAACATTATTTTCCATCTTTATCTTTTTGGAAAAAAAATAAACTTAAAAAAATTAGATAATCTACTTATATATATATATATATATATATATATATATAGGGAGAGACAGAGATCAAATAAGAATTTATGAACATAGAAGTAACCATGCCTCGTGCTCCATCTATTCTTGTCAAATAATGAGCTATATAATCTTTCCCTACTCATAGTAAGACTTTTTTTAAGCATACGTAGCTAGACCTTTTTTAATCGCACATCTAATTAGTCATCGTAAAACATATCCAGTATTGACCAAATTAATCACCTAAGGCCCTCCATTCTCTAAGGTATCTTTGTTTGTTTTCAAGGAATATTCCACCATATTCTGCTTTCGTCGATGATGATGAGCCGTATCATAAGTAGCATGAAGCCCCAAGAAAACATAGTAGATCAGCATCACCCCAGTGCAAATTCCAAATCATATAAAGGCATCAATCCCTAAGGATCCCATCAGAAGGATATTTGCTGCAATGGACAAAGAAGGTATCCATGGAATAAGTGGTAACCCCAAACCCTAGGTGCCCTTTGCTGAGTCAAAAATAAGGACAGTCCTAAAGCGGCCAAGAACCATAAAGGAACACTTATGGTGTATCCCACCCAACCATTCTTTGGTCTCATACCCCAATAAGTTGAAGTGGCCGTTGAAGAGGCAACAATGAGAAGCAAGAAGATGACTAGTTTTATCAAATTTTGAGTTGGTGTCACTCCTCTCACATAGTATCTCCTCACAAGAAGTGCCACAGCCATCATCATGAAGATAAACAGTATGCTTATTGACAAACAGCTTGCCAATGCATCTAAGCTTGAGGAAAAATTCAATGTAGGCAGTTTAAATTATATATCAAAAAGCCAGCAAATATCACAATTGTCATTGGTATATACAGATAGAGTTTTGAGATGAACTTTTTAATCTTGATCTATGGCTATTTGTATAAAACTAGAGAGAACCTTAGTTTGTGGGAAAGAAATGAATCACAGTTGACCCAAATAGGGTTGGTTCAGTGACAATGGACTGAGTTTCCATGCGGACTTGCGAAAAATGTATTTGGATAGGGATTTACTTAATCATCAATCAACCTTAATTCTTTGGATTAGTTAAGGTGGCAAGTAGTCATAAATGCGTGAAAGGTGAAAGTCATAAAGCTATCCTTGCATGGAAAGAGATGGAAGACAGTAATTGTAATCATAATAAGGTCTGTTATAGCATACTAGTTGATGGCTTGTCCAAGCAGGGGAAGCTCATGGAGGCCTCAATGGTGTGGAAGCAGGCACTGAGTAGAGGAATTAAATTAGATGTTGTGGCTTACAGCTCAATAATTCATGGTTTTTGCAAAGCTCACTTAGTAGAACAAGGCATGAAACTTTTCCAACAGATACTTTGTTTAGAATCTGAATCACAACCGGATGTGATTACATATAACATTCTTTTGGATGCTTTGTGCATGCAGAACAGCATCTCCCGTGCTATAGGTCTTTTAAATATTATGCTAGATCTGACCTAATTGCATGCAATATTTTCTTGAGAACTCTGAGAGAGAAAGTGAATCCGCCTCAAGATGGGAGAGAGTTTCTCGATGAGCTTGTAGTCCGGTTAGTTAGGCGACATGGAATAAAAGGTGCTTCCAAAATTATAGAATTGATGCTGCGTAAGTATTTACTTCCAAAGGGTTCTACTTGGGCCATAATTGTTCGAGAGCTCTGCAAACCCAAGAACAATCAAAAAGCTACTAATGAATGTTGGAGCAGGTTGTATTGCTGATTTTTTTTAGAGCCTTTGTTTTCAACTCTTTTAAAGCTCAGAGATTACAAATACAGTAATTTGTCAAGGTCTTCACTCTGTAGGTCCGCATACTTTTGAAAGGAAGATAGAAAGCAGAGGTAGAGTTTTCACCGTGCTTTATTCATAGATCTCATCTTGTTTATTTGAAGATATCAGTGTGAACCTAGAGGGCTGCAAATGTTGAGAATTGTACCACTTGGACCATTTCAGCTGCCTGAACTTGTAAACTGCAGTTGTCCCCCCAAAAAAAACACCGTCTTGTGTTAGTCTTTAGTCAATTCAAACCGCAAGAAATGTAGAAAGAAATTTCGAGGAAATTGAAAATTCCTAATTTTAAATCAATATTTTTTAAAAAATGAAAGTTCTCAACTATTTTAATCAAAGTTCCGCAAGAATATTAAAAATAGTATTATTCTACTTTCTAACACTATCTTATATTTAACTGTTAGGCCTTTGTTTTGATCCGTACTCATGTTTTTTGAGTGGTATTAATCCCTGAGATATTTGTAAAAATTTAGATTTTATTAAATATGCATTTGGATAAGTGGATCTGTCTAGAAAAGAAAGTGTTTCTTGGTAGTCCTCCGGTCCTTAATATAGAACCTAATTGTTAAGTTAATTTTGGTCTTAAATATAATACTTATTTATCATATTTATCAATTTTTTCTAAATTACCCCTATGGATACTTCCTTAACCATAATCAAGTAATTAAGGAAGGGAGGATATTAAGAAAGATTATTATGGTATTTTAGGAAAAGCATGTCATATTTCTTATAATTAACTAACTTAACTTTTTTAATCTAATGAAATTAGTTAAATAGGTCTTATATTAAGGACCGGAAGAATAATTTTTAATTGACTTCCTGACTCGTTGACAACTATCAGAGATATTAATAAAAATGGGCTCGGGATTCAAACTTAAGAAATTTTTTGTTTGAGATTTTTCAGTCTTTTTTTCTCTCATCACGGTGAAAATTAACGCTATGGAGACATAAACAATCTACTACCTCCAACCTAAATATAAGAGTTAGTTGACTAATTTGAGTAGATTAAGAAAGTAAGTTAAGTTAGTTATTTGTAGTAAATATGTATTGTTTTTCCTAAAATAGCATTGCTAATCAAGTATATTAGCTAGAACTATAATTATTAGAAAGATTACCCTAGAAAAAAATAGATAAACATGAGAAACAAAATGGATTGTGGTATTATATTTAGTACAAAAATAAAAGTCGAATAAAGTCTTATATTAAAAACAAAAAGTAGTACATATGAAGAATTTTCGGAGAATAATTGGACTTTTGCTTCTTCTATAATTGTAATTGACGCCTTTTTCTTTTCCTTCATTTGAGATAACCTGACCTGACATCTCGAATTGATTTATACCCACCCCACTAATGCTAACATTTTAGATACAAAGAAATAATATCACAACGTTGAAATTAAGACTTGTATACAACTAAATGAGATTAAATACGTATTTGAGAAAAAAAAGTAATTAACTTAAGTAACAGATAAACGTATCTCCAGAGACTTATAAGCACAGGTGTTTAGATTCTGTTTACAGCAACTACGTTCACCCTATATTGTAATTACCGGATGACAGATATCACTCTGTGATGTTTTGAATTTATGACTCATGCTTCTTGAAATTATAAAATCAATAATAATTTTTATGTTACAAAAATATTTTTAATTTAATAATATTCTTGCGTCGAAATATTGATCATACGAGGAAGATTATTGAGCTGTTACTTTATAGGACATAATTGATGCTTTTGAAATTTACATATATGCAGGGACCACACATGAACTACAAGACAATTGACTGCGAGTCAACACACCCAGCCTCCAAACTTCAAAAGAAGCTGCTTTGAAATATAAGTTTGTGTCCGCAAATGGATCTATCTTATCAATCAAAACCATAATATTCCAATGTGGAATATGCAATCACCCCTTTCTCTATCTTCATAGAAATAAAGACAATAAAAATAAAAATTTCTTTATACTTCCACACAAAATAAACTCTAACATAACTTGTCAATTTAGTTATACTTACTTGTCAATTCTGTACAAGAACTTGTTAATCATACTCCTTCCATATTCAATCCTTTTTTATTTATTATAGTATGAAGTGCACTTATTAAAAATACGTTCCCATAGAGAATTGATAAGAAAGTACAGTTAAATTGGCAAGTTATATTAGAATTTTAACAGACCACTTCATATTGTCACAAGCATATGGTTTGGAAGCTAAATTTATTACTACCTCTTGTGCTTAATATAACAATTAATTTAATTTTTAATTTGATCCTAAATATAAAATTTCAATTCACTTTGTCTCTCATGTTTATTTCTTTTTTTCTCAAAGTAATTCTTGTAGTAGTTGTAAATGTTCAATGTTTTATCAAATATTAAAGTTAATACATTTGATTAGTAAGGGTATTTTAGGAAAGACAATACCTATTTATTACAAATAACTAACTAAAAATTTTTTTTTATCTACTCAAATTAATTCACCAACTTCTATATTAAGAACGGAAGGTAATATATATATTTGCACTGTATAAAATATAGTTACGTTGATAGCTCTGTAGTCATAAAATTTTTGGTGAATCCTAGAGTTCAAACCCTTCCTTAGTTACCTTCTTGTAAAATTTATTCTCCATGACTGGCAACAGGAACTCCAATGATAAGTGGGCTTTTTTAAAGTAGTGAAGGAAGTATATTTTGAACATTTACAAGTAAAACATAATTTCATTTTTGTGCTTCAATACTTTATTGATACATCAGAATTTCTCAAGACTGATTAAAAATTAACCGAGTTATGTGTGGGACTATAATAAAATCGATTACTCATCAATTAACCATTATGATTATGAGTAATTAAAAATCATGTTACGTTCTTATTATAGAAATAATGTTTGTTTATTTTATTTACCGATGGTCTTGTATTGAGAATTCACACAGAATCCTCGCTTGTCAACCTCAAATACAGGTCCTCGTTATCTAGTTTTATGTACTATTATTATTGGACCGACCTGCCGTAGAGCTTTAACATTGCAGACCACTCAACAAGTTCTCAGAGTCATCACAAAAATCGCTTATCGATATCAGTAGCGTAATAATGGCTTCCGATTCCATGGAGGAGCCTCCTTCTTCGCAGAGAAGCTACTGGAGAAGATGGAGCAAGCAAGATTTCCTACCGGAGCAATCCTTCCAGAGCTGGACCGACTACAAAACCGCGCTTTCTCAGACGTGGCTCAGGTTCAAGGATCGTCTGGTGAGCAGATCCGACGACGCCACCGAGACCGGTGAGATCAGAAAGGAAAGCGAGAACGACATGAAGCGCTGCCTCAACTGGTGGGATCTCATCTGGTTCGGCTTCGGCTCTGTGATCGGCGCCGGAATCTTCGTCCTCACCGGTCAAGAAGCTCACGACGACGCCGGCCCTGCCATTGTGTTGTCCTACGTTGCCTCCGGCATCTCCGCCATGCTCTCCGTCTTCTGCTATACTGAGTTTGCCGTAGAAATCCCTGTTGCAGGTGACACTTGTCCTGTTATTATATATCGCATTGTAGAATCTCTAGTTCCACATATCAGTTCCAAACTTGTTAGAAGTTAGATTTGATGTTTCATGGAAGCGATTAAGGGGTTCTTTACATAACTTTAAAAACCACTTATAAATATGTTTGATGGAAGCAGAGGCAGACATAATCATTTAAAAAGGAAGTAATTTTCACATTTCCATCAACTATTCCAAACTGTTGTTTGGTGGGTCGTGTTCATATGTCTCTCTCTCTCTCTCCCCCCCCCCTTTATCTCTTTCTTCTCTCTCTTTCCTTCCTCTCTCCCCCACAACCGTATTCTTCTTCTTCTTCTCCAACTTTCTCTCTTGTATCCACATTTCAAGCTTCACCCCATTGCCGCAATCCAAAATCTATGTAACCCAGCGACTTCACACTCTTCCTACTCATTCGGGAACGTGTCTGGGTGGTCTAACAGCCACATTCCTTTGAAGGTAACGAGCCCATTATACCCTTTCCTATTAATCTCCACGCACACTCCCGATGAAGTTGGCCAGGAAGCATGGGACAAGGAGGATGGTCAGAGGCAAGTGGTGTCATTGCAAGAGCCACTATGAGTGAAGATCCATGTGAGGATCTAAAAGCCAAGAGGGTTTGTGTAGGAATCCACCCGCATGCTGTTGCGAGCTGCCATGGAGGCTAACTCCTAATATATAGAGGTTTTTGTTTTCGTCAAAATTATCAATCTCCAATGTTCTGTTGTGGTCGCTGCCATCTTACCTTCATCGGATCCATCATGCCATCAGTGACTCCATGACCCAACTAGCTGGAAAGCTAGAAACTGCTCATCAACCAGCTTGGTTGATGCAGTTGGAAGGAATGGCGACTGCTTCGAGTTGTAGATTTTGTGTACAGTAATCATGTTTTTTGTAGTGAAGGCTTCAAGGTCAAGCTATGATGAAGGTATGTTTGGGTTGAGTTTGAGAGAGATATGTAAGGAAGAAGTGGCCATGAAAGATGGAGAAGAAGTTGCAGTGTGTAATGGAGAGAGAAGACAGAGATAAAAGGATAAACAGAGACCAACGTGAACAAGTGTGAATCCCCCAAGTCAAAAGTTAACACCTCTTTGGAATAGCTAATGATTGTGTCTCCTTTTTTACTCTTCAAAATTTAACAGTGTCCTGCTAACATAAAATCTTGGAGGGAATTATAATCAAGTTTCATAAAAGGGAAATAATTATCAAAAGGTCTCAATAACAACTTCAAAACAACAGGTCTTATAATAAGAATAACAATCTTTAAAACCTGTTTTTCAATTATTTTCCTTGCTTGAGACCTCATTATAATTCTTCCAAAATTTTATTATTAAAATTGTATCCTGTATATATATTCTAGCTCATGAAACGCATTATAGTAACGTCAGGGTGAAAAAAATAGAGAAAAAGCATATATGTTTGCTAATTTTTTTAGTAAATTGTGTGCAAATCATTCATATGAATTTTATAGTTATGCATGCTGATCCGTATTTTAAATAATCCTTGTCGATCCCTTGTTCAAACTATTTATATGCAAGGACATATAAAAATATAATGAAAATATGAACTTTATTCCCCAACTGATTTGTTTCATAAGTTAAATTTGTAACTAATTATTTATACCAATTTGCCAAGAATAAAATAAAAATTGAAACTATTCAAATATACGTAATCCTGTTTGGCCCTGCATAGTTCCTATTTTGGATCTATCCCGTATGACTTTCAAATAATTCAATATGTTGGCCAAAAAATCAATATAAATCTTATATATTAATATTGATATATTGATTAATTCATATGGTTGCAGATTTTGAGTTTTTGGCCGAATTGTCTATTTTCTAGTTAATTAATTTGATTTTTTTTGGCTCTAATCAATAATTACGTATGCTAAAAATTTAATTTTGGCACAGGCGGGTCATTTGCATATTTGAGAGTGGAACTTGGAGATTTTGCAGCATTCATAACAGCAGGAAACATTCTTCTTGAAAGCATAGTAGGAAGTGCCGCAGTAGCAAGAGGATGGACTTCCTACTTCACAACCCTTTTGAATCGTCCCTCCAATTCACTTCGCATCACAACAAACCTCAAACAGGGCTACAACTTATTAGACCCCATAGCTGTCGGAGTCCTTGTTATTTCTGCAACAATCGCCATGATCAGCACCAGAAAAACCTCGTACCTTAACTGGATAGCATCAGGAATCAACAGCTTTGTCATCCTCTTCGTCATAGTCCTAGGTTTCCTCCATGCCAATACCTCAAACATGTCCCCTTTCTTGCCTTATGGGGTTAAAGGAGTGTTTAGAGCAGCTTCTATTGTGTATTTTGCATATGGTGGGTTTGACAGTGTTGCGACTATGGCTGAAGAGGCTAAGAAACCTTCAAGGGATATACCAATTGGGTTACTTGGATCAATGTCTTTGATCACTGTGATTTACTGTTTGATGGCACTTTCATTGAGTATGATGCAAAAGTACACTGAGATAGATGAAAACGCAGCGTTTTCTGTGGCTTTTGGAAGTTTGGGACTGAAATGGGCAAAGTATGTGGTGGCTTTTGGAGCTTTGAAGGGTATGACCACTGTGCTTCTGGTTGGAGCTTTAGGACAGGGACGATATATGACGCATATCGCACGTGCCCATATGATTCCACCATGGTTTGCTCTCGTCCACCCCAAGACTGGAACCCCTATAAATGCTACACTGCTCATCACCATCTCAGGTATATATCTAATACAGTATATAATCCCTCCCTCTTGTTTATATAAGTTCTAATCATTTCATCATTTCAATTCATTCAATCACTTTCATTGAACAAGCGTACCAAGTTTATCTTGAAACTGATGATGATTCAGAAGAAAACACAGTTTTAGTTGGTTTTTAAAGATTTGGACAATTTTATAATCAAGTTCCTTAAAAGCTTTTTTCGTTAAGGAACTTATCCCTTAAAACTGTGGTTAACTTCAATCAAAATCGCTACTATTATCAAATATCATTGTTCCATCAATGACACATCATTATCACATCAGCAACATGTCATTTCCAAGTAGTAGTTGACCAAAATTAACTATGATTTTAAGGATTATATATATTATAAAAAACTATAGGAATTTTCACCTAATTAAGTTGACTAAAACTCTAAATTAAAAACAATACTTTCCCATGAATTTATATACTAATGACTGTAAATTACTGTCTCTCAGCTGCCTGCATTGCATTTTTCTCAAGCTTGGATGTATTGTCAAGCTTGTTGTCAATAAGCACACTGTTTATCTTTACGATGATGGCTGTGGCACTTCTTGTGAGAAGATACTATGTAAGAGGAGTGACACCACCTCAGAATTTGATAAAGCTCGTCATCTTCTTGCTTCTCATTGTTGCTTCTTCAATGGCTACTTCAGCTTATTGGGGTTTGAGCCCTAATGGTTGGGTGGGATACACCATAACTGTTCCTTTATGGTTCTTGGCCACTTTAGGACTGTCCTTATTTTTGACTCAGCAAAGGGCACCTAGGGTTTGGGGGGTGCCCCTAGTTCCATGGCTGCCTTCTTTGTCTATTGCAATAAATATTTTTCTGATGGGTTCTTTACCAACAAAAGCATTTATAAGGTTTGGAATTTGCACTGCTGTGATGTTGGTTTACTATGTTTTCTTTGGCCTTCACGCCACCTATGATATGGCTCATCATCAACCAGACAAGAACATGATTCAGTCTATGAAAATGCTGAAAGAAAGCTTAGAGAATGGAGATCTTTAGTTAATAATTAGATCATTATATATAGTTACTATATCCTTTGATTTTCAGTACTTGATGAATATATACATTTTGTAATATACTTGTACATTAATTTCCGATCCACAACAATTACTTGTATGAAATTCTACGTTCGCAAGTTTTTATTTTTGACATCTTTGCATTAAGCTCGCTTGAATCCAGGGATATTCAAATTGAGAAAATTTTTTATAAGAAAATAATATAACCAGCGAAAAGAATAGGAGAGTGGGAACATAAGAGAAAATGAAGTTTCTTTCGACATTATTGGAGGAATAATGCAGATTCGGATTTTCAGATTAAATTATCACAACAAATTTCAACAAGTCAAAATTGATATTTTATAAAAATGATCAGAATTCGGGAAAAAAGAAGAAGATAAATTTGGACAGTTAGAATTTTTTTAAAAAAAAATCTGAGAGCGATCAGTAACTGCGATGAGAAAAAAAAAATCAACTGAAGGAATACCCTCCTTTAAAATTGGAAAAATTATATCCAAAAGGCCATAACTTTATAAAATTCGAACTCAAATTATTTAAACATCCGAAGGAATTTAATGTTGTTATAAATGGATGAATATGTCCATTCATAAAAAAAAATAAAAAATTTAAAACTCACAATCAAACCATTATTTTCCATCTGTATCTTTTCTAAATAAAACAATGAAACTTAAAAAAACAAAATTTAGACCATCTAAACACATAAAGAATATATATATATATATAGAAGAGAGAGAGAGAGAGAGATCAAATAAGAGGTCATTAACATAGATGTAGCCAAACCTCTCGGGCTCCATTTATATATTCTATCGTCAAATAACAAGTGAGCTATTAACCTGTTGCATTTTTTGGCGTACTTCATAATAAGACTCTTTAGCACGTAGCTAGACTTTGATACATAGTCATCGTAAAACTTATCCACTAATGAGCAAATTAATCACCTAAGGTCCTACATTCTCCGAGGTATCTTTGTTTGTTTTCAAGGAATATTCCATCATATTCTTCTTTTGTCGATGATGATGAGCCATATCATAAGTAGCATGAAGGCCAAAGAAGACATAGTATATCAGCATCACAGCAGTGCAAATTCCAAATCTTATAAACGCATCAGTCCCTAAGGACCCCATCAGAAAGATATTTGTTGCGATAGACAAAGACGGTAGCCAAGGGACAAGAGGTACCCCCCAAACCCTAGGTGCCCTTTGCTGAGTCAAAAATAATGAAAGTCCTAAAGTGGCCAAGAACCATAAAGGAACACTTACGGTGTATCCGACCCAACCATTCTTAGGTCTCATACCCCAATAAGTTGAAGTGGCCATTGAAGAAGCAACAATGAGAAGCAAGAAGATGATCAGCTTTATCAAATTATGAGTTGGTGTCACTCCTCTCACATAGTATCTTCTCACAAGAAGTGCCACAGCCATCATCATGAAGATAAACAGTGTGCTTATTGACAACAAGCTTGCCAATACATCTAAGCTTGAGAAAAATGCAATGCTGGCAGCTGAAATTATATATCAAAAAGCCAGCAATTATCACAATTGTCATTGGTATATAGGGATAGAATTTTGAGATTAAACTTTTAATCTTGACCTATGCCTGTTTGTAGGAAATTAGAGACAACCCTAGTTTGTGGGAAAGAAATGAATTACAGTTTACCCAAATAGAGTTGGTTCAGTGACAATGGACTGAGTTTCCATATGGACTTGGGAAAAATATCTTTGGATAGGAATTCACTTAATCATTAATCAACCTTAATTCTTCGGATTAGTTAAGGTGGCAAGTAGTCATAAATGTGTGAAAGTTACCATATTAGTACAGTTGATTACCTGAGATGGTGATGAGAAGGGTAGCATTTATAGGGGTTCCAGTCTTGGGGTGGACGAGAGCAAACCATGGTGGAATCATATGGGCACGTGCGATATGCATGATATATCGTCCTTGTCCTAGTGCTCCCACCAAAATCACAGTGGTCATACCCTTTAAAGCTCCAAAAGCCACCACATACTTTGCCCATTTCAGTCCCACACTTCCAAAAGCCACAGAAAACGCTGCGTTTCGGTCTATTTCAGTGTACTTCTGCATCATACTCAGTGAAAGTGCCATTAAACAATAAATCACAGTGATCAAAGACATTGATCCAAGTAAACCTATTGGTATATCCCTTGAAGGTTTCTTAGTCTCTTCAGCCATGGTTGCAACATTCTCAAACCCAGTATATCCAAAATAAACCACAGCCGCTGCTTTGAAAACCCCTTCAATCCCATAAGGCAAGAAACTAGGTGACGACAGGTTTGAGGTATTGGCATGGGAAAAGCCTAGGACTATAACAAAGACGATGACGAAAGTGTTGATTCCTGATGCTATCCAGTTGAGGTACGAGGTTTTTCTGGTGCTGATCATGGCGATTGTGGATAAAATGGCTAACACCACGACGGCTATGGGGTCTAGTAAGTTGTAGCCCGCTTTGAGATTTGTTTTGATGCGAAGTGAATCAGAGGGACGATTCAAAAGTGTAGCGAAATAGGAGGTCCACCCTCTTGCTACTGCCGCACTTCCTATTATGCTTTCAAGAAGAATGTTTCCTGCTGCTATGTATGCAACAAAATCTCCCAGTTCTACTCTCAGATATGCAAATGATCCGCCTGCAACAAGAACTAGGATTTGAGTGATTTATTGATTTATTTATTTATTTGAGGATTAACTTAATATAGGAAAAATTGATCGGATTGTTTTGATTTGTTGTTAATTTAGTCCTAATTGTTGACTTAATATAACTTATACCTATAATTTTGACCTCATCAAGTAGTTTTAACTTTAACCATTTAAAATATAGTTTCGAAAATAAAATTGTATATTTCATGAAACTTAAATTTTAAATGGTTAAAATAATATGAAAGTGAGTTAAAATTTAGAAAGACTTAATTCCAGGTGAGTTAAAATAATAAGAAATGAGTTAGACTGACTCAGAAAGACAGTTATGATTGAATTAAAACTATAAGGATAAAATATTAATTTTTCCATTTTAAAAAAAAAAAAAAAAAACCTTTCACCGTTGGAAGAAGAAGCCACCTGCAACTGGGATTTCTACGGCGAACTCTGTGTAGCAGAAAACAGAGAGCATGGCGGAGATGCCAGAGGCGACGTAGGACAAGACAATGGCTGGTCCGGCGTCGTCGTGAGCTTCTTGACCGGTGAGGACGAAGATTCCGGCTCCGATCGCGGAGCCGAGGCCGAACCAGATGAGGTCCCACCAGTTGAGGCAGCGTTTCATGTCGTTCTCGCTTTCCTTTCTGATCTCATCGGTCTCGGTGACGTCGTCGGATCTGCTCGTCAGACGATCCTTGAACCTCAAAAACGTCTGAGATAGTGCCGTTTGGTAGGTTGTCCAACTCTGGAAGGATTCTTCAGGTAAGAAATCTTGCTTGCTCCATCTCCTCCAGTAGCTTCTCTGCTGCGAAGGAGGTTCTTCCATGGAAGCTACTACGCAAGTACTTCGTGATAACTCTGTGAAGATGATGAGTGGATTAGAATGGAGATAAGAAGTGGAAAGTGAGTAAAACTCTCTTGTTAATATCATGTACGTATTTACTAAAAAGTATAATATCTTCCTTTCTCATAATGAAAATAATACTCCTCCGGTCCTTAATATAACACCCGTTTAACTAATTTGATTAGATTAAGGAAGTTAGGTAAGTTAGTTAATTATAAGAAAAATGACACATTTTTCCTAAAATATCATAATTATCTTTTTTAATACCCCCTCTCCCTTTTCTATTTGATTATGGTTGAGGGAGTATCTATAGGGGTAATTTAGAGAAAATTGATAAATATGAGAAATGGGTATTATATTTAGGACCAAAACCAACTCAAGAATTGGGTCCTATATTAAGGACCGAAGGAGTATTAGATATTCACTTTCACCTAATAATTCTGTAATAGTAGTATTTTGATTTAATTAAATCATATTCTTAATTCGTAATTCTTCCAGGTATTAGCATTTTTATGCTAAATTGCTAATTCCTTATATATTATTTTTATACCTCCTACACTTAATATAATAGCGAGATTGACTTTCAATTTGATCCTAAATATAATATCTCAATTCACTTTGTTTTTTTTTTTTTTAAGATAGTCATTGTAATAGTTGCACATATTAAATATTTCTTCAAATGACATTTGCGGTATTCTAGGAACGATAACACATATTTTTTACAATATTAATTTTCTTAACCTATTCAAATTAGTTAATTAATTTTTATATTAAAGAGTGGAAGTACTAGTTGTTTAGTGAATGATTTATTTGTTCTCTTTTCTTCTATCTGTTTTATGTAAAATGTCTGTTTGCTATTAATAAGGTTGGGCCTGAAAAGGTTAGTTTAATTAAATCATATTTGTTTGCTAATTATTAGCTTAATTACTAACTATACCCTTAATATATAGTATACAACTAGAATCGATTAGGTTATGGTTAAAGAATAATATATCCATCATAATTCCATTTAATACTAGGTGAAATGACGATGAAATACCTTGTGAAAATGAAAAAGACAAAAAAAGAACCCAAATAAGTAAAATACCCAAATGGTCATTAGGTATGATTTTAGGATTTTTATGTTTTGTTAAAGTGACTGAAATGCCCATGAAGTGAGAGAAAAAGCCGCCGAATATGAAAACACTTAGAAGAGAGCAAAACATTGAAGCCACATGTGAAGGATGAAAACTGAAAAGAGAAAGCTTGAAGCAACATGTTTAATGCTAGAAAGAGAAAAATGTGAGTCATTTATCTTTCGAATGAAAGCAACCTCAAAGATTCCTCACGTCTTGAATTGAGATCAAGCAGGTCACCTGTTTTAATGAAAACAGTTTGCTTTCATTAAAACAACCCACCACAATAACTGAAAAACGACATATGTGATAGTTGTAAATATTAGATAGATTAAGCATATAATACTGGTGCACAAAAATGTATTGTCTAACTATTCTTATGATATTTAACTTATGGTTGTATATGGAATTTGTTTACAAATACATATTTAATCATGGTTATTGTGTAGTTATTTGCAATCATTTTTCATCCATATGCACACAGGTTTAATTTACTAAACATGTATTGAGATTCACAACTTGCGAAAAAAAATTTGTTTAAAATTATTTGTAATTTGTTTACAAACTTAGGAGATTTATAATTTGTTTATTTGGAACTGTTTTTAGTCTATTTGCTCATAATTTTACTAAACTTGTAACGTGAATAACAATTTGCGAAATGAAAGTACCAGTTCTCTTTTGCAACTTGTTATTAATCCATTTGCTCAAAATTTTACTAAACATGTAATAGGATTCACAACTTGCATAGTAAAATTTGCCACTTGCTTAATGGGATTTGCAACATATTTTCAGAAAATTTGTAATTTGTTTATTTGGAACTATTTTAATCCATTCGCTCATAATTTTACTAAACATATAATGCGAATAACAACATGCTAAATAAAAGTGACAATTCTCATAATGAGTTTTGCAACTTGTTATTAATCTATTGACACACAAATTTTACTAAGTATGTAATGGGATTCATAACTTACGTAGTGAAATTTACTATTTGATTAATGGGATTTGTAACCTGTTTTTAGGGGATTTGCAACTTATTTGCTTGGAACCATTGTTAATCCATTTACTCACAATTTTACTGAACATGTAATGTGAATAGCAACTTGCAAAGTGAAAGTGCTAGTTCTTGATTGGAATGAGTTTTGCAAATTGTTCTTAATCCATTTGCATACAAATTTTATTGAACATATTAATGGGATTAACAACTTGTGTGGTAAAATTTATAACTTGTTTAATGGGATTTGCACCTTGTTTATTTGAAATCATTCTCAATCTATTCTTTAAACGTACAATTTTATTAAATATGTAACGTGAACAATGACTTTTGAAATGAAAGTGACCATTTTCATAACAAGTTTTGTAACCTATTCTTAGGGTATGTTTGGGTTACACCCCAAACCATGGTTTGGGGACCCAAACCATGGTTTGGGGAATAATCTACCCAAACACCCCTTCCAAAAACCAAAACCATGGTTTTGGGTCAAACCATGGTTTTGACTCCAAAACCATGGTTTTGGAAAAAACAAATTTTTTTACTTTTGGAGAAAAAAGGGAGAGTGTGAGGGCCTATATGATATGTATCTTGTTATTTTTTTATAAACATATTTTTTTATAAATATATTTAATTTTATATTTTATAAATATATATACACATTAATTATTTATTAATTATATTATCTTATGTATTATTAATTATGTTGGTAAAAAACATATTATTAACAATTTTATTCATTCAAATTAAAATATATCATAAATCTATTTTTTCTATAATTATCATATTAACTTATGTCTTTTTTTTAGTAATTTGTATATATAAAAAGTGCTTCTGATAACAACTATCCAAACACTCTCACTTCTCAGAATCACTTTTTTACAAAATCTATTCTTCACAGAATCTATTTTCCCCAGAATCTATTCTCCAGAATCACTTTTCCAAACCACGGTTTGGTTTCATCCAAACACACCCTATAATCTATTTGCATATAATTTTTCAAAACATATAATAGGATTCACAACCTGTAACAAACAACCATAAATCAAAATTTTAATTCTCCAACAATCAATTTTCATCAACATACATGACATTGAACACATACGTTCTTCTTCCATTGACAACTTCAGCATAGGATTTCACAACTAGATTATTGATTTTAACAACACTAACCACTTTATGCTTCTTATTTGCATGTAATCCTCATGGTCACATAATCGCTTGCCACCACTTTTTCATTTTTGATAAGTCAATCTTTCATCCTCATCAAATACTCAATTTAAACCCTCCTCACCAACAAATCTATTCCTATCTGACGATGAAGAAACTACAAAAATAAAGAACTCAGAACCATCACTAACTTCTACTCACTTACGTATTGCAAACCCACTTAATCACAAGCAAAGCCTATCCAAATGTACAACGTCTGCAAAACGATAATGGTTAGAGGAGCAAGATAATAGTATTTCGAAAGATAAATGACTCACATTTTTCTCCTTCCAGCCTTAAATGTATTGCTTCAAGCTTCCTCTTTTCAACTTTCATCTTTTACATATTGTTTTAATGTCTTGCTCTGTTATGAATGTTTTTACACTTAGTTATTTTTTCTCTCACTTAATGGACATTTTAGTCACTTTAGCAAAACATGAAAATCTCATATTCATACCTAATGACTATTTGGGCATTTTATTTATTTGAATTTTTTTTTTGTCTTTTTGATTTTCACAAGGCATTTTACAGTCATTTTTTTCACAATATAAATATATTCATATTTTGTATTTTTGAAGAATATAAATACAAATTGGATCGTAGGAGTTCTTCACTTCCCAATTGACAGCGCCACCTAGCTTTGATTTTCTCAGGTCAAGCTTCGCGGGGGCTCAGCAAACCATTTTCTCAAGCAAGTCCTCTTTGATCGATGCCCAAATGCCCAATCCCTCTCTCTAATCTTCTCAGAAACTCAGTGCTGAGGGGTCTCAGCGTGTGTGTCCATTCTCCTATTCATTCGCTTCCGAGTTGCTCCTCACCTCCTCATAATGACGGAGAAGATGAAATTGAGCCTTTGCTTCCGGGGGAAATCTTCAAATCAGGCACCCAATCGGGTTCTTACAGATTGGGCGACTCGACTTTCTATTCACTCATTGAAAACTACGCGATTTCCTGCGATTTTAGGTCACTGGACAGGGTCTTGAGTCAAATGAAGCGCGAAAGGAGAGTTTTTGTCGAAAGGAATTTCATTGTAATGTTCAAAGCTTATGGGAAAGCGCATTTACCTGAAGAGGCGATGGGGCTGTTTCATAGGATGGAGAATGAATTTCGATGTAGGCAAACTGTAAAATCTTTCAATTGTGTCCTTAATGTCATTATTCAAGAGGGTATGTTTACTCGTGCCTTGGATTTTTATTCTGATGTAATTGCTACCAAGAGTCTGAATATACATCCAAATGTACTCACTTTCAACTTAGTTATCAAGGCCCTGTGTAAGTTGGGTTCAGTTGATAAGGCTATTGAAATGTTCAGAGAAATGCCACTCAAGAACTGTGCTCCCGATACATATACATACTGTACACTAATGGATGGGTTGTGCAAGGAGAGTAGAATTGATGATGCCATTTCTTTATTGGATGAGATGCAAATTGAAGGTTGTTTCCCAAACCCCATCACATTCAATGTGTTGATTAATGCTTTGTGCAAGAAGGGTGACTTAGTACGTGCAGCCAAGCTTGTTGATAACATGTGTCTTAAAGGCTGTGTCCCAAATGAGGCCACGTATAATGTCCTTGTTCATGGATTGTGTCTCAAAGGTAAGTTGAACAAGGCAGTTAGTCTAATGGGTCAAATGGTATCAAATAAATGTGTGCCTAATGATATTACTTATGGAACACTCATTAACGGGTTTGTTAAGCAAGGCAGATCTGTTGATGGAGTTCATGTATTATCCTCAATGCAAGAAAGAGGTCATGTAGGGAATGAGCATATTTACTCATCCCTTATTAGTGGGCTGTTCAAGGAGGGAAAATCCGAGCTTGCTATGCAACTGTGGAGAGAAATGGAAGGAAAAGGATGTCAACCAAATGCTGTTGTGTTTAGTGCTTTAATAGATGGTCTTTGCCGAGAGGGGAAGCCAGATGATGCAAGGGAAGTTTTATATGAGATGAAGAGTAAAGGATATGCACCAAATTCTTTTACTTATAGCTCCCTAATGAAGGGTTATTTTGAAAAAGGTGAAAGTCATAAAGCTATTCTTGTGTGGAAAGAGATGGAAGACAATAATTGTAATCATAACAAGGTTTGTTATAGCATACTAGTTGATGGCTTGTGCAAGCAGGGGAAGCTCATGGAGGCCTTAATGGTGTGGAAGCAGGCATTGAGTAGAGGAATTAAATTAGATGTTGTGGCTTACAGCTCAATGATTCATGGTTTTTGCAAAGCTCACTTAGTAGAACAAGGCATGAAACTTTTCCAACAGATGCTTTGTCTGGAATCTGAATCACAACCCGATGTGATTACATATAACATTCTTTTGGATGCTTTGTGCATGCAGAACAGCATCTCCCGTGCTATAGGTCTTTTAAATATTATGCTAGATCGGGGTTGTGATCCTGACTTAATTACATGCAATATTTTCTTGAGAACTCTGAGAGAGAAAGTGAATCCGCCTCAAGATGGGAGAGAGTTTCTCGATGAGCTTGTAGTCCGGTTAGTTAGGCGACATAGAATAATAGGTGCTTCCAAAATTATAGAATTGATGCTGCGTAAGTATTTGCTTCCAAAAGGTTCTACTTGGGCCATAATTGTTCAAGAGCTCTGCAAACCCAAGAACAATCAAAAAGCTATTAATGAATGTTGGAGCAGGCTGTATTGCTGATTTTTTAGAGCCTTTGTTTTCAACTCTTTTAAAGCTCAGAGATTACAAATACAGTAATCTGTCAAGGTCATCACTCTGTAGGTACTCAAACTTTTCAAAGGAAGATGCACAGCAAAGGTAGAGTTTTCATTGTGCTTTATTCATAGATCTCATCTTGTTTATTTGGAGATATCAGTGTGAACCTAGAAGGCTGCAAATGTCGAGAATTGTATCACTTGGACCATTTCAGCTGCCTGACTTTGTAAACTGCAGTTGTCCCCAACCAAAAAAAAAAAAAAAAAAACATCTTGTATTAGTCAATTCAAACCATAAATAATGTAGAAAAGATTTCAAAGGAAATTGAAAAATCCTAATTTTAAATCAATATTTTAAAAAAAATGAAAGTTCTCAACTATTTTAATTAAAGTTCTGCAAGAATATTAAGAATAGTATTATTCTACTTTCCAACACTATCTTATATTTAGCAGTTAGGCCTCTATTTTGATCCGTACTCGTGTTTTTTGAGTGCTATTAATCCTTTAGATAATTGTAAAAATTTAGATTTTATTAAATATGCATTTGGATAAGTGGATCTGTCTAGAAAAGAAAGTGTTCCTTGGAAATTTTTAGTTGACTTCCTGACTTGTTGACAACGATTAGAGATATGAATAAAACCAGGCTAAGGATTCATCTAACAGATTAAGCTTAGGTTATATTGATCCATGATAGCAATGGTCTTTACACCACAATATCATGTTAATTTCTCAATAGTTGTCCATGACAATTTGGTTTGGGATGGTTATTCACTAATTGTGTACATTTTTTGTCAGTACTCTCCTAAACATTCACGCTATGTTGCGTATGCTGACTGGTAACATTCAATGAAGAAGTTAAATCGGAAGAGAATAGAGGTAAAATTTGAGATACTGTAGGTTCTTTGCTAGGAAATTTTTTTTCCCCTTTTAATGATACGCCTTTGTGATTCAGTATTTGTGCTCTTTCTGACACTTAAGCCCTAAGGCTCGTGAGAAGTTTTTATTTCATAAATACTCCCCTGGTCCTATTTATAGGGCAGAGAGAGAAGATATTTTTTGGTCCTATTTATAGGGCACTAAGAGAAATTTTTTATATGGATGTACAATTTTATCCCTCATTTATTATTATGTTGATTTTGTTTACATGAGTATAATGTATATTAAATAGGAATAAAATTGGAAAGTTATTAAATTTTAAATAAGAGTTAATGAAGTTTAAAATTTTTCTTAGTCTGTGTAAAACATGTTGGTAGTGTCTTATAAATAGGACCAGAGGAGTACTTCCTAATCTCTATTTTTGGGAAAGCTTGACTTTGTTTAAAATGTAGCTTCAGAAGCTAGAGCTGTGGATCCTCTTTGTGCTTGTGAACATAGTAGCATATGTCTGATGAATTTCCATTCTTACTGCTACTGAAGTCATTAAAGTTGAGAAGTCACATCTGTCTAGATGGTTAATTTTCAATTATTGTATGACATTTCTTTCTTTTTGGCCTGAATGGATGCAATAAACAAAATCCTCAAAGAATTAATACCTGTCAATGTGTGAGACTATGCTATCGATTTATTTGTGCTGTTCCACACGTTAAAATTATTAGCTGTTACTTCAGACAAGAATGTTATGGTTTGATGTTATGGAATTTTAGATCTGGTAAAGGAGATTAGATACTGGATGAAGCTACATCCATGTTTGGGGTGGTTTTGTAGTTTTCAAGTTCTGAGAACTTCTGGAATAAAAGCCAAGATGAGAACGTTTTCTTTCCGAGCAGTCAAGTTTCGCTTTCATTGTATTGTTAATTGCTCTTATTTTTTGTTTTCTACTTATCGTCTGTCACTATGCTTCCCTGGCCAATTTGTCAATATTATGTGATTTGTGCTAGCAAATTTTGCTATTAATATGCACCTATAGGTTGACTCTCACCTTGGACAGAGCTTGAAAAGAATAGCCTTTTGTCAGATAAACTTGTGCACATTTGGCGCTTGCAAAGGCTAGTACCTGATGGCGATTGTTCGGAAATAATGAATGGACTCTCAGGTATTAAATAATAAATATGATGAGAATGAATTATGGAGCACGCACTTTGGTTAAAGAGAGAGGGAAAAAAGAAAAAGAAAAAGAAAAAGAAAAGAACCATGGAGCACGCACAACTGATATTCCTCATTTCTGGTTTATCTGTGATCCTGATATGTTTTCTAGCTCTATAATTTTCTGTACGCGTGTGTCAGATTTGGTTAATGTATTTCCCTTGCTTGAAGATTCCTTCTCTGGTAGTCTGATCTGCAATTATTCAAGAGCCCAGAATCACTTGACCTTAATCTTAATGTACCTTTAGAAAGAGGTAGATCAGAGTGTAAGACAATCCTTAGACCAGATGACAACAGCTAGGGAGGGTGAGGCATTTACTCATGAAGCTTCAAATCAACTCTCCTTTTCATCATGGATTTCAAATTGGACAATACCTAGGTATATTTAGGTCTTTAATATCATGTTTATGTTGATATCATGACATCTGAATAAATTGTCTTGAAGTAGGCAACGGAGTACAAAGTTAATATTGTTGAGCTTTTATTGGAAAAGTTGAATATTTGAAATCATGTTTAAAACCACTTATAAGCACATTTTATGTAAAACGAGATAAAATTCTTCTCTCATACTTACCTCATATTCTGTAAAGCACGATTGAAAAACTGCATATAAGCCATTCCAAATGAGTCGAAGGCTTTTAAGCTGGACTTTAGTTTTGTACTTTCAAATAACATGTGCTGATTCTGCAGGTCAATTTCAAGAGGATTATGGTTCTAGAAGGATTATTCGATTGGAGATGGAAGATCCATTGACGTTGGGGGTCCTATTCGCGTTTGTCATGTCTCTTCAACTGAAACAGCTGTTAGGTTCATGCAAGACTCGTTCATCCTGTAACAAAGGGGGTACTTGAGAAGAGTACCATAGTTGGAAAATCGGTTCATCCTGTAACAGAGCCAAATCAGTTCATCCCGTACTTGCTATTGACCTTGTGAGATTCAGATATACCTACTGGAAGGCTATTATATGTGATCTAATAGTGAGAGGTGTAGATAAGTTGTACAGTTTAATTTCTGTTTTCTCACGTACCAAACAGAATATGCTTATTGTGTAGGCTTGACGAATACTACCTCCAAATGTTTAATCTTTAATATAAGAGCTAGTTGGATATTTAATTTGGTATTGAATATAAGATCTTAGTTCTTCTTGTCTCTAATATTTATCCATTTTACCCTTGAGGGTAATTCAAATGTACATGATTAATACAAATATTTTAAGAAAGATGACATTTATTTATTACAAATAATAAACTTAACTAATTTTTTTAATATTTATAAATTAGTTACTTAGTTTTTATATTAAAGACTGAAAGTATCATATCAGATTATGATCTACATAGCAAATTGCTTGTTACATTATTGAACTTCATTAATCTGAGAGCAAAGAAACTGAAGACTGATATCGCGTTTGGATTGTGCCCATGTGATTGTGAAGAAATGTGAAAAATTTAGATGTAATTCATGTCAAAAAGAATCAACAAATGCAATGTGATTCATTAATTCTCACAAAATTCTGAAAAAAATTGAGAGGCTCTGTGTAAGAATTAAATTCCTTCAGTTGAAATTTTTTTAATAGTTTGAAAAATTTTAGAAATGGGAACTTAAAATTTACGTTTAAAAATTGCTTAAAACGAAAACTCCCTTCTAAATTCTTTTGTTCATCAATGGTTTATCTTTTCAAATAAAGATAAATTTCTCTTAAAACATTACCAGCCACAAGCCCCTATCATGATTGATCCATTAAGAACTCAAACTTCTAGGAATTATGAATCATTGTCATTATTTAGATAAAAGATACATAATCTTCAGACCCAAAAAAAAGATAAAAGATACATAATCTGTTGTCAATGGAGGCTTAGCAGTAGCAGTTTCATCAGTAAATGTAGATTCTACATTGGCGCAGATCACATCAAGAACATTTCATATGAAGAGATGAAAAAAGAGAAGGTTCCATCTCTCTCTCTCTCTCTCTCTCTCTCATTATTTCGAGTGATTTAAAAAAGTTCTTGTACAAGTCTACACAGTTCAAGCAGCTGCTTCATCAGCAGATGAGACCTTTTGGAGGACAAGAACAGGATCTCCCACTTTAAGTGTTTTCTCATTTCCTGCTATATGATAATCTTTCCACACCATATGCTGCCCAACGTAGACCTGCGCAAACAGTTCATACATGTTATTTGATCCATTCAGCCGAAGATTAATTGATTCAAAGCTCAATGGCTGCATTTCTCACCCTATTCTGCTGTTTTCCATTTGGCCTTAGGACTTTATCTGACCTATGATTCTTTAGAGTTTCGGTTGGTTCATTTCCTGCAATCCCAGTCTCTTGATCGATTGTAGGTACCTAAACATCACAAGCAAAAATCAGTCAAAATATCTCATCAACGGCATTCCAAGAAGAATTACTACCTTATCTATGAAATACATACGAAGTTAACAAGGATGAAGGTACCTTAAAAAATTAACAATAGAGTAAGATTATAACAGAGAATCCCATGGTCTCCAACACTATGTATTACAAAATATAATCAAAGCTAATCTTGTTAGCAGAAATCATGCGATAATGGTCCCACGAATCATACTGACTACATGATTAGTAGAAAATAACAGTCCTTCACCTTGCAACGGGAACACAGCCTCACACCCTGAAATGAAAATTTGCCTATCTTGATCTCTGTCCATAAGTCCTCAGAAAATGGTTCACAACCTTCAACAAGGATACTGCATCATGCAATCGTCAGGTATAAATAATCAGAGGTAAAACTCCACTTAGATATAAACCCAAGACACTAAGGTCTAAAATAGTAGCTAAAGTTAAAATAGAGAAAATGTATGTATAACTGTAGGAGATAACCAACATGCAAGAGTGGAGTAATACTTAGGCCTAAATCGATTAACAGGTATGGGCTCCTTGAGAAGCTTGTTGAGTGCATCCATTGACTCCTGAAACGGATTAATGGTAAATATGGAACAAAGATCATAAATTTTTTTTTTTTTTAAAAGGTGGCCTTTGATGTCACTTTCTCAACTTGACTAACCTGAGATAACGACAAGAATGGGAAGCGGTCAGAGAACATGATATTGTGCCCGTTGGCATAGTCAGGATCCACAGCTCTAGCTTCTGACTCTGCATTTGGCAACAACGCAAACAAAATGTTCAAGATAATCATTAAGGCTTTTAATACTACATAGAAGGTAATATATCCTTGTCCTTATAAATATAATTGATAATTTGCGTTAGTTTTTTCAATATCCGATTCATTATTTTGCATGTTTAAAGGCCCACCAGTATTGAAGCGGACCAGTCGACTGGGTTTTCCTAGGTAATCTGAGAACCATTTTGATGCTTCATCTCCCTCATCCAGTGCAGAGCCAGACCATTCCCATACCGAGACACCATCTGCTACTCCTTGTGGTCTACTCAGACAAATCTTGAGAGCTTCCATACCAGGAGCTTTTATCACTGTAACACCAAGAGAGAGTTATCTTCTGTTCACGGACTATATGGAAGAAAAAGAAGAAGAAAAGGTGATCTTAAATTGCACACTTAAGCAAAGGAACACTAGCATAACACTTGCAATTCTTTGCAAGGAAGCATTTGTCAAATGAAAATTGGATCGGATTGGAGTTTACATTTGTACTTCCAAAATTATAAAAAGAATAATATTTGTTGTCCATTACCCCACAAAAAGCAATTAATATTGTAATTGATGACAGTGCAAGAATTTACCCATATATGAGTCCTTAGTAGGTTCCCATCCTTCAAGAAATGCCTCACTTGGCAGTTCTGCCGCCACTAAAGCAAGCTTTGGTTCAACTCTTTGAGTGTATGCCCTCCCCTTTGAGTTCACTACCAACCATTGTCGATCCCATCGAAATCCTGTTAATTAGATTAACATAGCAAAAGGATCGAATACTTCAGTTTGCTTCTTATGCAACGTATTTCATGGTATTTAACTTCATATACTTGATAAGTTTATGAATACTTTTGATAAATCATCTAAAATAGAAATTGCAAGATCTGATGTTGACGCTACAAATCAGTGGAGGGTACATCATCATCATCATCATCATCAATTCAATGTATTTTTAAGAAAGGAATGCAGGCATCTCAGAAAATGTGGAAGACTCAGTGGATTCATGCTCTGAAATATGATATTATTCAAGTGAAACAGCATTACACAAATAGGGAAAAAGTCAGTGAAGGAGGTCATGAGGTCTGAAGGACTGAGCACCCAAAAAGGGAGGGAAAATAATTCCAACGAACTATAAAACAGAAAAAGAAAAGCACAAGGAAAATTAAAGAGGAAAAAGGACAAAAAACTGCCGACATTATCTGTAGCTAGAAAGGGAAACAGCTGTTCAGGAATAGCTAGCATATCACCATGATTATACAGCATAAAAGTAGAAAGGAGAAAATAGTCCTGTTACCTGTGTTCTCTAAACTCATCAGGGCTACGAGAAGCAACTCACAGGTGAAAACAGTTTCATTATACATACAGCTGTGATTTCCAAATTATTGACAAGAAATATTGCCATATGTCAACATATGAAGTCGAAAATCACAACATAGGATACCCATACATGCTATCCTGTCACATAATAATTGTAGCTGCAAAGAGGCACCCAAAAAATTTTGTGTACTGAGATGAAATGTAAGGACTAGATGTTCTGGGGGTAAAACGGTGGTGACTCGGTTAGAATGATTTCTGCCTTGTTATATAAAAGCTGTAAATGTACAGAGACTGTAACTTCCAAATTTTTTATGCAAGATATTGACACGAACCTGGGCACAGCTGGCCATATTTAATAATCCTAGCATCCAGGAGCTAAATGGAATTGATTAAAACCTGGTATTTGCACATCCAAGGATTTCTTCCTTGATGACCAAAAGAAAACCGACTAACAAAAAAGATCGAGGTATCCAAATACGAACATGGGGAAAAGTCAAATATTTGTTTAATTGAAAGAGTATTTTCTAAAAAGTTGACCTTTGATATTGCAGATTACTTCAGAAAATATAAAATCTTTGTTGAGATTGCTAAAGCCATGGCTCTATATCTGCATATCTAGGCATGCCTTAAATTGTCCATTATACCATTATGATGGACAGAAAGCTCAAGGTCTTAAAACAAAGCTTCAAGTACAATACAAAAACATCAAGCATTCAGCAGCAAAAATAGAGAGAGATGAGCATTTCTGATTGTTTACCAGTAGGTGTGAGGGGTGCTTGTGGAACTGAAATCCCACGGCAAGACTTGATTGGGTATATGAAAATCGATGACACCTTGACTTTGGCTTCCGATGAAGTCGTCGCTTCCATCTCTCTCTCTCTCTCTCTCTCTCTGTGTCTCTGTGTCTCTGTGCCTCCTGCTACGGTGATAGAACACTAGAGGGTAACCAGATGAGTTTGTTGCCTAATATATCTGTGTAAGCTGCTAAGAGAGACTGAGAGAGATAGAGAAAGAGGCCATTTTTAGAGACAAGGGAGAAGTAAAGCAAGTTCAAACCACGTGAATTTGGAGGAAAAGAAACTAGAAAAAGGAATGAATGAAGGCTTGGCCGCCTTATGCTTTGTTACAATAAGAGACACCTTTTGATAATTTGATTCCATCAAAGGGGACCCTCCGTGTGGGCACACACTTCACCATGTACACCTAACACCATTGCGCCACATTTTCCATCCAAAACATCCCATTAATGCTTGACAATATCAGTATTTCTAAAAGTAGTAGTTCTATTTGATGCGTTGTCTGCTACCACTCGTATCAGCAGAACTTGAGCCTTAGTTTATTACTACTTCTATTTTTTAATATAAAATCTTATTTATTTTTATTTTAATTTTAAATATAAACCTCAATTCATTTTATCTCTTATATTTATATATTCTTTTTCTAAGATTGTCCTTCTAATAATAGTAGTTCTAATTAATATAATTGATTAGTAAGGATATTTTAAAAAACACAGTATCTATTTATTATAAATAACTAACTTAACTTATTTCTTTAATTTCTTTAAATTAGCCAACTAGGTCTTATAATTAGGATCGGAGGTAATATATATGACTAGTTCTTCTATTTCTTTCTGTTAAACTTAATTTCTGGTGTTACCACTACAACATTTTTCTTCCACTGAGTTTTTTTATAAAAAATATTTTTATTATTTATTTTTATAAACTTGGGATTTATCTCCTTTTGCTTTCTTTTTCACCGCCTCCATTGTTGAACTTATCGGAAAGATGTTATTTCTCTCTAGACAAATACATGGAATACGGACATAAGTGGGTGTGATTAAATATTACTACCTCCAGTCCTAATTATAAGACCCAGTTGACTAATTTGGGGAGATTAAGGAACTTAGTTAAGTTAGTTATTTGTAATGAATATGTGTTGTTTTTCCTTAAAATATCATTGCTAATCAAGCTTGTTATCTAGAACTATCATTATTAAGAGACTATCTTGGAAAAAAATGAATAAATATGACAAATAAAGTAGATTAAGGTCTTATATTTAAAACCAAAATAAAAATCAAACAAAGTTTTATATTAAGGACCGGGAGGTAGTAATTTATTTATCTATCTTTTCTTTCTTTGTTGGAAGAATCTGTTCGGCAGCCTAATTAACAATTTGTCTGTATTTGGAGTGGATAATTTCAGTGGCACACCAGGAAACAAAAAAAAAAAAAAACAAAGATATTCAAGTTCAATGAATATATAATTGTTGAGCAGGATTTTTTTAAGTTAACAATTTATTGAAATATTTAATTGTTAATAAAGTAAAATGGCACTACGTGATTCATATAATTATTAATTAATTCAACATGAGAGGTAAAACTCTTTTCTTTCCTGGGATAGGGAATTTAAAAGTTAAGACTGCAAAAGCATTGGTGGAGTATGCTTTTTTTTCCCCCACAAAGATAGAGAAGTCTAATTAAAGGTTATACTACCTCCTCTGGTCCTTAATATAAACATTAGTTGACTAATTTGAATAAATTAAAAATAGTTAAATTAGTTATTTATAATAAATAAGTATTGTTTTTTCTTTAAAATATCCTTACTAGTTAAATAGATTAGCTAAAGCTACCATAATTACAAAAATTATTTTAAAAAAATAAATAAATATAAAGTTAAATATATTGAGATCTTACATTTAAAATCAAAATAAAAATTAAACAAAAACTTGTATATTAAAAAACGGAGGTAGTATTTTATAGGTGAAAGACTTCTTCAATCCATCGGGTAGATTTAAAAAAAGAAGAAAAAAGAAGTAAAATTCTGTCGCTCTGCGTCCGTTATGAAAAAGATTCGTGTAAGATGCGTCTCTTCTTCAATCCATCGGGTAGATTAAAAAAAAAAAAAAAAGAAGTAAAATTCTGTCGCTCTGCGTCCGTTATGAAAAGATTCGTGTAAGATGCGTCTAGATGCGTCTCTTAAGTCTGACATGTAAGGAAGTGTGCAATAAAGATTCGTATGTAGATCCCATCCATCCCTCTAATCGGAAAATTCTCAAATGATGAATGTTGAATGGTTTCAGGCTTTCAGCGTCAGATTCACCATTCCCCACTTCCACTGAATAAAAGGTGTACATTCAAGCACAATGGCCCCTACTATCATGCTCTTTCTTTTTTTCAGAAAAAAAAAACAAAATATAAAAGAAAATCCAATTAAAGCTTATACTTATATACACCTCGTTTCCTAAATATGCTACAAGTTATCTCTTATATTTAGTACAAGTATATATATATATATTACTTTTGGTGTTTAATATAAGAACTATTTAATTAATTTGACTATATTATTAAAAAAATTAGTTATATCAGTTATTTATAACAAATATAAGTTGATTTTACTAAAATACTGGCGTCTCTTAAGTCTGACATGTAGGAAGTGTGCAATAAAGATTCGTATGTAGATCCCATCCATCCCTCTAATCGGAAAATTCTCAAATGATGAATGTTGAATGGTTTCAGGCTTTCAGCGTCAGATTCACCATTCCCCACTCCACTGAATAAAAGGTGTTCAAGCACAATGGCCCCACTCCTACTATCATGCTCTTTCTTTTTTTCAGAGAAAAAAAACAAAATCATAAAAAGAAAATCCAATTAAAGCGTTATACTTATATAACACCTCGTTTCCTAAATATGCTACAAGTTATCTCTTATATTTAGTACAAGTATATATATATATATTACTTTTGGTGTTTAATATAAGAACTATTTAATTAATTTGACTATATTATTAAAAAAATTAGTTATATCAGTTATTTATAACAAATATAAGTTGATTTTACTAAAATACTGTTTTTAATCATAATTATCTTTGGATGAAAAACTCTTTGTATGTGTAATCATTATGAATACTTTAAAGAACAAATTACAAATTTAGAAGAAAAAAGTGAATTGATATATTTTATTTAGAAATAAATTTAATCTCTATAATTAACTCTTATATTAAACAGCAGTATGTGTTGTGTATCAAGGAATGAATTTTATAATTTAAGTTTTTCATTGTTTCAGAATGGACAATGGTCCCTAATATCCTCTATCTTCCATGGCTCTGTCAACTTTTTCCTCATATCACTACGTTTGATTTCAATTTCAAATGCGATCATTCTAGAGAATATTCCTCAATGATATTGACTTCTTTGTTTCATTTGGATAATAAATTGCAGTTCCTTCGTTGTTCACGGAAAAGAAGATAGATAGGCTTGACTATGGATTTATTATCCCAAAATGCATTCTCATTAGTTTGCCTCATCATTCATCACAGGAAGGAAGTATGGAAACCAATGGATATTGACACTGACATGAGTGCATAACATGCAAACCAAAAGGCATTAATTTAAGCTGATTAGCAATAATGAAAAAACCCAACTAATAATTCATCAGTAGTTCCAAGAGAATTTCACAAAGAGTTCAAACTTGGAAATTTATTACTGTCATCACGGGCATCAATCATCTTCCCGTGAATTATTATGATCTGTCATAATCCCAATATATATAAATAATCATGATTTTATAAAGACCTGTGCCTCATCTTGGTGTGTTTCGTTTTCAGATTTAATAGCTACTGGTAGTATGTGGAACAGCTGCTGCAGCATTATTGCCTGTCCAAAACCTCAAATCACCTTGTTGGCTATGGCACTTGCATACACGAAGAACCTTCACATATCTGCATTAGAGAAATCAACTAGTCGAATTTGAAGATACCATCATAACACATGTTAGTTCTGTCTACTTTATATTACTTTCTTGGTCAAAGGAACTAAAAAAATTTAGACTAACCATACAAGCAAATTGGTTTAACCTTTTGTGTAAGCTAGAAAAACTTAGTCTATAATTACCCAAACAGCTTACTTGCTGTGTTGAGCAAGAAACTGCAGTATTCACCAACATGTCCACCTGCAACATGGTGAAGATCCAGCTGGAGTTCATCCAGAACCCTGGAGACAAACAGCAAGCAGCTGATCTTCTTCCTCTGAACAAGTTTGATTGTGACTTCATCGTCGATGATGCGGACATCAACCTCAGTGTCTTTGGATTTCCTCTGTAGCCATGAGGTCCTTACGCATCCCTCTGGATGGTCACCATAGGGCTTCATGTTACAGCTCTCTCCAGCATCATCTTCAGGTTTGTGCCTCTTGCACCTGTCCATTCCAAATTTTCTTCTCCACCAACAATTTCAGCTCATTCACTGTTCTCATCAGCTCTTGATATAGTTAATGGCGTCTCCCACACGGATGCTCTATCCATCTGAATAAAACCAAAAGGAAACAGTAATAACACAAGAATCAAACACAATCCACAAGCTTGATTCATGACACAAAAATGATTTATTTGGGGGTGTGAATATCATATCACAGATGTTCAATCCACTTGAAGAGCAGAAGATAAATGACACCAGAACGGATCCCAACCCGAGTGATTCATGAGCAAAAAGCTACATGTCAATTAGGGAATTAAGTGGATGCTGCATGTATGAATGTGATAGGTATATACACACCTTGGTTGGGCTTGGGATCAGACTCCTCAAGACATTGTATTTGCCATTAAGTTGCTCTCTTCTTTGTTTCTCAGTGGCAAAATGCTTGGTGCCTTTTCCTTCTTTTCCTTTGCCCACACGAGCAGTCCTCTGTCAAATTCCAGAACTCCATGTCAAGCTGGCTTCCATCACCATCCTGATAAACAATCCATTCCCTCTATCTCATCCCTCCACCAAAAAGGGAACCATTTCTGGAACTAGTTGGCAAGCTATAGCCTCGAGGAAGAGACTGAAACAGCTCTCTTAGCGCTAGAGGCTGTGGAGGCAGATTCAAATGAAGCAGAGGATCATACAAGACAGAGCACGCGCTTGTGCTGTCTGATCCCATTGGAATGTCGCCGAGAAATCCCATGGAATTTGGAATATGGGGTATCTTCTGGGTTGGGTTATAATGGAGGAGGAGGCGAGAAGATTAGAAGAAGGATAAGGAGGAGGAGGGTCCAGTATGAGTATGGAAGAAGATTGTAGCTTGGGTCTCAATTTGATGAAATTGTTGGGGTTGCTGTTGTTCCTGGTGGTGATTAGAATAACCCACACCTTGCAACTCTTGAACTTTAGGGTCCCAAGTGGATGATCATAATTGAGGACATCAATGACTTGATGAACCAAATGTCATTGTTGTAGGGATTTTCTACGTTCAGACAAAAAGGATGAGGGTGCGAGATGTCCAACGGTGCGTCGGCGGCGCCATTAGCAAAGGCCGAGCGAGACGTCTCTGTGTTGTGCGGCGGGGAAGATTCTGGTGCTGGTGATATGAGAAATCCTCCACTGTCAGCTTGAGATTTTCGTCCAAGCCATGTTACTGCTTGTGTGGTTGCCGGCAGCCATGGGTAGGCGGTGCATCAGGAAGGCCGTCTTTTATGGAAACAGTGCCATCTGCCATTGTGTTTGGATCAAAGGATGATGTATGTTCATACATTTCTGGTTAATTTGCCTCCTGCATTTGTTGGGCAACAGAGATTGTAAAATCCGAAAAAAGAAAAAACTGCACACCATATGAATGATCATATGAACACCGAAATATCACTATGGAGAAGAAAATGAGAAAAGAAAAACACCAAATCTCTCCGGTCAAACCTGTCACTAGCTGCAATAAGTAGCTTGTATCATTGAAGATGAAATGAACTCTAATAATTATTGAATTCAATTAGTTTTGAGTCTCTCAAATCAAATCAAGATACAAGAGGGAGAAAATACTGAACTTAATTATATAAGCTGACAAATTCTTTCAAACGAGTTGTTCCAATGGAAGTGAGTCGTACTTCATAATTCATATGCATACACAGATCAAAACAAAGAATACAAAGTCTGGGGTCTATTCCACTGGTTTCTGATTGCCCTATATATTCTGTATTTCCAAATCAAACACTTCCCTTTTAATCATGATCATATCCAATGCGAAATTACCCTAATAAAGAGATCAAAAGATACAAGATTCAAATGCAAAACTAAGATAAAACAAATCGGCCGTACTCAAGCAAGATTATTCCGAAGGAAGGAATGAAATGAGCAGAGCTTGATGCACCAAAACATATGGAAGAACACACACAAGTAAGGATCTACTCCACTGAATCTTAATTCATTTCCCCCATTTTCATTCATTGCAAAACTACAGTTCAGAGATCAAGAGTCTATGAAGGCATAGGAGCAAGACTCATATACAGCAAATTAACACAAGCACTTAACTACTCGTATATGTAGCAACAGCGTATTGCATGTAAATTCAAGCATCAAATTAACACAAATATATATTATTCGTTTCTCATACTTACTTAATGTCGATCTAACTGATCTCCGATTCGATATGAATTGCCCCAAATCCGTTCTTGCTTTTGAAACTATGAGCGTATAATTTATATACACGATTCCACGAAAAAGTGAGAAAAAATGGGGGGTTGAAATTAGAGGAAAAATGGAAGAAAATGAAAGAAAGAGAAATAAAGGTTGGTCACGCAGAACGTGATAGTGCATGAAAAAGCGGGGTGGTTGAAGTGCTTAACATTTATCATCAACGTCCTTGTGGTCCCCAAACAAATTCTCCCTCATGCATTTTGGTCTCCAACTAATAATGCAACTTTTTAATCTTTATTATTCACCCAAATATGTACTTTTTGTCACGTGGATATATGGTTATATATTATTCTCTACATTTATAAACAATACAAATAATAAGAGTGAGAGTAATGATAATAATTGGGCAGAGTTTTAATAAAAAGTAAATAATGCCCATTATTTTGGATTGAGTATTATATATTCCTCTGGTCCTTAATATAAAACGTAACTGTGAAATTGATTTTGATCCTAAATATAAGATTATTTTTTATATCTATTAATTTTTTTAAATTACTCTATTGATACTCCCTCAACTATAATCAAGTACGAGAGGAAGGAATGATATAATAAAGATGATTAAGGTATTTTAAGAAAAAACATGGCATATTTATCATAGTTAACTAATTTACCTAACTTTCTTAATCTAATCAAATTAGTTAAATAGGTTTATATTAAGGACTAGAGGAATTTTTTTTTTAGTCCTAACTAGATGATAAGTAGTCAAGTATGATTTTAAACCAACTGGAGTTGGTATAGTGAAAGGGACTCATCTTTCACAATGTGATGAATAAAGTTTGAATTTCTATTAAGAGAGGTACCACATTTAGTATGTGTCTTGAATAAGATTGTCTTCAATAGAAAAGATACACCCATGCATAGGGAGAAAAAAAAAAGTGCCTGACTTTCTAAATAAGTGTCACTTAGACCAGCCTCAAATCCAATCTAAAGGTTATTTCAATCAGTCTAGATATCTTTTTATACTGGGGATTGAAAAGAAGAGATTGTGTCTTAGAAGCAAGGTTTAATTTATATATATATATATATATATATATATATATGAAAAAGGTGTTAGCCATACAAAGTTCAGGTTTGATTTAGTGTATTTGACTCAAGATGGTACTAAATATTGAACAAATCTCACAAATAAAAAGAAAAAGTGGATTAAAAAGTTAATTGAAGCGCACACATATTTTTACATTTTGGTGTTATTTTTTATGCTCTTATACTCTATATCTGGTTCTATTTATAAGACTTGTTAGTCTTTAATGTTAGACTCTTTACAACTAACTTCTGCTCATGTTTATTGGGATGGAGAATTTTTTTTTTGGAAAAAAAACTCATCCGCAAAATTAAAAAGCCATGAAATAACAGGTTTGAAATACAAGAGTTGCTTTTAATAGAGGTAATTATGAAAAGTTTATAAAAAAATTTGTGATATTTAACTAATTTTCCTCATTAAAAAAAGTAGTTAAAACAAAATTAAATTATAAGAAGATTTATGATGTATTATTACAACAACAACAACAAAAAAACAATTCAGTCTCATCATAACAAAGTTCCTCTAGAAACAATAGAAACTAATGGTATAACGAAGGAATCATGGCTCATTATTGAAGTATATGAAATTGCTTTGTGCCCCGTAGCATACATGACGCATTTTAATCCTCATTCGGAAATTAATAGCTAATTAATTCTACACATCATTAAAAATTATAAATTAAAGTTCTATAAAATTTTGAGATGTCTATTTTTCAATGCAAAAACAACCACACAAAGCTATTATCATTTGCCCCTTGAAATTCATTAATTTCTAAGACAGCTCAAAAAAAGGACGAAAATAAGATAAAAAGAATTACTTTCAACCTATCCACTCCTTAATCTTGCTTAGTTAAACATGTTTAGAGAATCAAACCTTCTTAATCATGTGGAGTTACAAATGATATACTTATAGACAAATCATATATTTGGAAATGATATATTTTGGAAGATGCACTTATTGTATACATTTCTTACAAAGTTTTAAACTTTCTTTTCTAATTACACTACAAAAAAATTACTAATCTATCTTTAAGTTAGTGACGGGATAAATCATTTACTAATTTAACGATGAAAATTTTTTGTTACTAAATTCTGTTACTAATTTTAGTAATAGAATTTATGAGGAATTAGCAACAAAATAAAATTCCATTGCTAAATTCCATTACTAATACCTTTTTTTTGTAGTATTAAAAATTTAAACTTAAATTAAAAATCAATTTTTATTTAATATATTGTTCTTAAAGACTTTAGAATTCAATGCAAATTGAAACTAAACCAATTAATTTAAACTTCATAATGACAAAATTGTAATAGACATCGCTCTTGAGGTTCATTTGTGTCAGACATAATATATATGCATGGTTTGAGTCTCTGTATCTCTATCTCTGACTTTTTAAGTCAATTATAAAACGATAAAAATCTTGTCCATATTCAATTACCTAATGTGCCACAAAAAACTTTAACCTGTTTTCTCCCCTTGTTTCCTTCCTTGAGTCATTCCCACCAAAGTATATATTGTTCTCAAAAATTTGAAAATTCATCAAAACTTGAAAATCAAACAATTTAATTTAAATTCATAATGGTAATAAATGTAATATACATTTCTTGAGGTTCATCTGTGTCAGACGTAATACATGCACATGGATCTTTGTATCTCTGACTTTTTAGGTCGGTCATAAAACGGAAAATATCTTGTTCCTTTTCAGTTATCCGACGTGGCATGAGAAACTTTGACTTATTTTCTCGCCTTGTTTTCTTCCTTGAATCATTCCCACCAAAGCATGTATTGTTCTTGAAAAATTTGAAATTCAATCAAAACTAAAACTCAAGCAATTTAATTTAAATTTCTTAATGGTAATAAATGCAATGTACATATCTCAGGTTCAGCCGTGTCAGACACAATACACGCATGGTTTGATCTTTGTATCTCTGACTTTTTCAGTCAATTATAAAATGACAAAAATCCAGTCCATATTCGGTATCCAACGTGGCATCAAAAACTTTGACCTATTTTCTCACTTTTTTTTTGGGTCATCCCCACCAAAGCATATATCGTACTTAAAAATTTTAAAGTTCAATAACGATTGAAACTCAAAAAATTAATTAAATTCATAACGGTAATAAATGTGATAGATTTATCTTAGAGGCTCATTGTATCAAATGTAATACATGCATGGTTTGAGTTTCCGCATCTCTAACTTTTTAAGTCAATCATAAAACGACAAAAATCTTGTTCATGTTCAGTTATCTAACGTGGCATGGAAAACTTTGACCTATTTTCTTGCCGTTTTTTTTTTTTCCTCGGGTCATTCCACCAAAATGTAACCCTAAATTGATCTAGAACCGCCATTGATGATTCTTCAAACAATATCACAATCTGCAGTTTAATTTTAAGCTCAAAATTACACAAAAAATGATTTAAATTCAAGAGTTCAATTTTCATTGTCTATATACTCCCCCCATGGTTTTAGCATCTAACCCACACTCCCTTTTTTTCTTGCATTCATTTCCTTTTTCATTTTAAGTAAAGGAATAGGTACTAATATCCTGAAATTATAAGCAGGATTCAAAATCTATGACCTCCTACTTATAAAAAAAAATTATCATGCCACTAAGCTACAAAGTTACTGACTACATTCATTTCTTGTATTTCTATATTTAGCACTAATTTTTCTTTGTTCCTGCTCTCTTTTCAGTTTTGCATCGTTGGAATTTTCTATGCGTGGAAGAGACTGAAGACTTTCAGTTACATTGTGAACATATATAATCACTTCACTGTATATCTCAATTATGGTATTCACACCATGCCTCACCTCTTACAATTAATCAGTCTTGTCTTTGTTTCACTGATTACCTATATTGTTTGCAGGTAGTGGATTCATTATATGATGTGTATAGTGGGGAAGAAAGTCAAACTCCCATAATTACCTTTAAATACATCCCAAGAATCCAAATATGGAATCCAAGTTCAGATTACTGTGATCTGATTTTTTTTCTTCCTTTTTTACTTTCCCCTTTATTTAGTTTTTACTTTTATGGCATTGACCAGTGGATGTTGATTACTTGTCTGTTTGCTTCAGAGGGAAAGAGTGTGTGTCTATATATATATATATATATATATGTATGTATGTATATATATCCCCAGAATTCGCAAACCCTAGAAGAACACAAGAGGGGAAGGGTAGAGAGAGAAGAAAGAATTAGTCTCTCTCTTCTGTGTGAGATTGAAAAATGATGATTTTTCAATTGGAGCTGGTGGGAGTGGGGCTGATAGTGGCCCTAACAATCCTGGGAAGAGGGGAAGAAAGATGTTCCATCGCCACACTCCCCATCAGATTACACAACTTGAAGCGTAAGATTGTATATTCTTTCTCGTTTAATGATATATACCCTTTCAATTTTTTATTTTTTATTTGGGTATTTCATCGTTTTCATTTTGATCTCTAAAATTAATTTTGATTTCGACCTGTGCTTGAATGATTCCAAGGGGATTACCTTGGATTCAATCTCTCACATAGGATAAATGAAGATTATGGACTCAATCTTTTGGAGAACAATAGTTGAAGCCAAACCTCTAGGTTTTTAATTCTCAAATCATTTCGCTTCCCTGCACAAGGATTGATGATCTTCTTTTCTTTCTTTTTTTTTTTAATTTTATGTGATCGAAGTGGGGTTTTGTTTTGATTGCTGTGAAACTAGCTCGTGCTGATTTTAGTGGAAGGGGCTATGGTTACTTCAATGCAAGTTTTCAAATTCAAGAATATGTGAATAAAGAAAATACTTTGAAGAGCTATCCCTGGTTTGACATCCGTCTCGACTAATCTGACTTAATCAGTGTTCAATAAATGAGTAAAATTATTTTAAAGAAGCACTTTTGTTTCTCTACCTATCTCTAGATGATCTTAAATGAATGGTCTTTAAAACAAATAAAAGGGAGTTGGCGACGGAAGTTACAAATTTCATCACTAAACTAATTAGCGGCTATCACTAAACTATGTCGCCAATTTGTTGGTTTTTTGTGTATTCATTTTCTATTGTGTTTTTTGACCTCTATGTCACTTGTAATACCCATCTTCCTTCTTTTTTTTCCTCTCCCTCTCTTGAGCATCACTTTATTGATAAAATAGGAGGCATCATGGTCCCTTTTTTTTCTTCAAATTTTTATGATCTTAAAACATAAAATTATGCAGTTTTTCCTTGCAAAATCATAAAAAAAACAGAAATTAAAACAGCAATTTATCTTGATTGTAATATATTGAAGTTTCTTTCATTTTATCTACAAGCTAATTATCAGAAGAAATTTAAAAAAAGAAAAAAGAAAAAGAATGTAAGGTATTGCAAAAAGGCATTACATACCCAAAAGGTTCCTTTTTCTATCTATTCTTTCCAACCATTCCATGGTTCATAATAAGGATATATAACTAATTAATTTGACATTCTTTGCAAACATTTTGAATAATCGAAGAGTATATTATTCTTCAACATTACTCTATTTGCTACCAATTAAGCGCCGTAACCCATAGAAAATTATGTTCATTCACGATTCCGACACCTTTAGACGACAGTGTTTGTATATATTCTTATGTATCATATATGTATTTGAAATTTACTTCAACATCATATATATTCGTTAAAACTGATGAGATGTGTTATTATTCTTAAAATGAAGATTTTTCAAGGAGTACCCACATCCAGATGAAAACCAACGACGCGTCAGTTAGGCAGGGAGCTGGGGCTTGATCCAAAACAAATCAAGTTTTGGTTTCAGAACAAGAGAACTCAAACAAAGGTATGTGGTCTTTTGGTGTGCTATGTATCTTTGTCTGATGCTTCACACACGCACACACATTAAAGTGCTGATCATAATTAATTTGATTACATTATTTGCAATATTGTTTTCAGACTCAACATGAGCGAGCTGATAATGCTATGCTTCGGGCTGAAAATGAGAGGATGCAATGTGAGAATATAGCATTCAGAGAGGCCCTGAAGGACATGATTTGCCCCTCTTGTGGAGGTACCCCCTTTGGGGAAGAAGAACTTGCCCTCCATGTCCAAAAGCTCCAGCAAGAGAATTTTGAACTCAGACAAGAGGTTACTTATACATATATATAGTTTAATCATATCTGGGACCCTTAATATCCTAGTGTTCTGCCTTTATAATATTCTTCTCATGGATAGTTTCTAATTTTATGTTAATAGTCAGCAGAAAAATGAGGCTTTAAGAAGGGTATTAGAAATCCTATAAGCCCATTTTAATCGACATTCTCTTATCCAGGGCTATAATTGCAAGTTATTTCATCATCATCATTTGTTTAACTATGTTTTTTCGCTAACAAAAGGCAAAATGATGAGTTATTTTTTCAGTATGAGAGAGTATCAAACATTCTTGCGAGGTGCATTGGCAGGCCAGTATCAGAAATAGAGTCTTCTGTGGGTCATAATAATTCCTCGGCCGCCGGATCTCCGCCGCTGGAGGATCTCTCACCTGGAAATTCCCTGAACCAAGGGAGTACTGGAAGTCCAGCAATTAGTCTTGACATGGACTTAGGTTCTGCTATTACAGTTTCAGATGAGAATATGTTGCCTTCCTTAATGGGAGAAGTCACAGACGTGGAAAAGGATCTGATGTTGGAGGCTGCCAATAATTCCATGGATGAATTACTAAAGCTTATGCCGATTGATGAGCCCTTATGGGTGAAGACTTCCATTGGTGGTCACTTTGTTCTTTATCGTGATAGCTATGAAAAGCTATCTCCTAGGGCTAATCACTTCAGAAGTTCCATTGCTCACAGAGAAGCATCTAAAGATTCGCGAATGGTTTGGATGAATGCCATGCAATTGGTTGACATGTTCTTAGATCCGGTCAGTACTTTTAATCACACCTTTCATTCATTTACGGAGTAAAATCACACGTCAGCACTTAATCACTAGCTAACTAAAAAGTCTCATAACAAGTTATCAGCATGACAGTATAACAAGATCCGATCGATACAGGAAATGACAACTACTGATCATGTCAAGGATCTTTTAGTGATTAGATTGCTTACGTGGGATTATACACAGTAAATTTTCCCTTAATCTATATGAAGCGCGAAAGAATCTTTGGGACAGTATTATTAACATATCTTTGTCTAGGACAAGTGGATGAATCTGTTCCCCACAATCGTTAGAAGAGCTGAAATACTTGAAGTGCTTGATGTTGGATCACCAGGAAACCGATCTGGAGCTTCGCAGCTGGTAATATATATATATATATATATATAACTTGTTATAGGGTTATAGTAGGTTAAGTTTCTTGCTATATACTTTTCTCAATGTAATCACAGGTTCGATGAAAACTGTTTGATGTAATGCAGATGTATGAAGAGATGCACATTCTGTCGCCTTTGGTGGCACCTCGGGAATTCTGCTTCATTCGCTACTGTCAACAAGTGGACGCAGGTGTGTGGGTCATAGCTGACGTGTCATTCGATTCCTTAAGAGACAACATCCCTATCTCTCGTACTTGGAAGTTCCCTTCTGGTTGCATGATTCAAGAGATGCCCGATGGCTTCTCCAAGGTTAGTGGTCCTACGTACGTACATATATCTTTCTGAAACTAGCTAGGTAGGTAGAGGGATATATAGGAAACCATCATTTCATCTTTTTCATAAGGAAATGTTAATAATTTTGCATAAATTGAGGAATCCGTTAAAAACTAGGAAAAATCGCAACAAAAGACTGGCAAAATAAAAAAATTACAAATAGGAATCCATGACAACATTAGTATGGGCTTTGACAACAATAGTGTAGGTTTTAACAATTTTTGTGAAGGGGTCTCTGTGTATAATTTTTCTATGTCAGCACTCTTTTTTTACGATTTTCCCTTTAAACTAGTTATTTCTGATAAAGTCTGAAAATCATTCTCGCTAAAAATTAGTACTATCTTCAATTCTTAATATAAGAACTTGTTTAATTTTTATTTTCATCCTAAATATAAGATCCTAATATACTTTAATTTGTCTCTCGTATTTATTTATTTTTTTCTAATGTAGTCCTTGTAATAATAATAGCTTTAACCAATATACTTGATTAGTAATGATATTTAAAAAAAAACAACACATATTTATTACAAATAATTAATTTACCTAATTTTTTTAATCTACTCAAATTAATCAACTATTTCTTATATTAAGTACCGGAAGTAGTGTTAGTTAGAGAAATTTGATTAATTAGATAGGAAGTTAAAACATGTTATATTACGAAACACGAAAGAGTTTCTTATAATAAAAATCGGAGGTAGTATTATATAACAAAGTTTTTGCTGACACTAATATGATTTGGCTTTAGGTTACTTGGATTGAACATGTGGAAGTGGATGATAAAACCCAGACACACAGGATGTACAGGGATCTTGTTTCGGGCGATCTTGCTTACGGAGCAGAAAGATGGGTTGTTACACTTCAAAGAATGTGCGAACGATTTATGTTTGCATTGGATGAAAACACTCCGATGGAAGAAGCTGGAGAAGGTGATGAGTCTTCATCGATCATCATCATCAGTTCTTCGATCACCAGATATATATATAAACCCTAATTATTGTTAATTATTGTTTCAGCGATCAGTTGTGGAGATGGAAGGAGGAGTATAATGGAGCTGGCTAATCGAATGGTGAGGGACTTCTGTGAAGTTCTGAACATGTCAGGAAAGGAGCACCCTCATTTATGTGAGGCGACTAACAATGGGATTAGGGTTTCTATTCGGAGGAGCACAGAACGAGGGCAGCCTGATTGCATGGTTGTGACTGCTTCAACCTCTCTGTGGCTTCCGGTTATGCTCCAAACTGTGTTTGAGTTCTTCAGCGATGATACAAGACGACCTCAGTGGGATGTTCTTTCCAGTGGAAGCTCAGAGATTCAAGAAATCGCTCACATCTCCAATGGAACCCATCCCGGCAACTGTATCAAACTTATCCGGGTACCCCCCACCATCTATGGATTATTATTCTGGGGTTATTTATTTGTTTATATATAACTTCTGATTTTAGTTTTTACCAATAACCTTGTAGCCCAGCTCCACACCTCAGGTTTGGTACTTCTAATCTAATATGTCTCTCTAATACTATTTGTAATGTCTCAATTTCCTTAATTTTTTTATTTCTTCTGATCATTAATTAGATAATCTTACAATGATGAAATAGCGTAATTTGTATTTTTTTAGAAGATTTTTAGAAGAAAATAAATCAAAATTGCATAATTTTAGGATATTTTTCTTTGGAAATTGAAAAACATTTAAACCATACCCTTTTATCTCTGTAAGATATCAAAATATCACTCATTTTTGTAGAATCTAATGATCAAAAGAAAAAAAAAAATATATATATATATATATATAGGAGATTAAAGCATTACAAAAACATTAGAAAGTATTGAGAGACACATTAAAGTCCCTTCAAAAAAAAAAAAATCCCCTAATGGGAGGTCACAAATTTAATAATCTCAGGCTTTTAATGCCTTCCAATTAAAAAAAAAAAAAAACCTTTTGATTTTGTTCATTCACAAAGACTTGCCTAGAGTTAATATGTAATCTTTGTTGATTTTGGAGCAGCCTTTGCACCCGGATGAGAACGAGGTGCTGATCCTGCAAGAAACTTTCACTGATACGTTGGGATCTATGCTTGTGTATGCTCCCATTGACATGCCACTGATAAATATGTGTGTGAGGGGAACGGACACTTGGCTGGTGCCGATCCTTCCGTCAGGCTTTGTGATCTCCCGCGACGGTTACCGGCGTCATCCCGGCCCGTTATTCGTCGGAGAATGTAGCAGCTCATCAAGCTCAAACGACGGCTGTTCATCGGCATCATCAGGAGGAAGCATTCTCACTGTGGCTTACCAGATTTTGGTTTGCAGCAATCAGACGATGAGTCAACTGAACGTCGAAACTGTGGCCACAATCAACTCGCTCCTCAGCTCAACTGTTGAGAAGATTAAGGATGCTTTGAACTGTGCCGGTTCGGATTAGTTGATGAGCTTTTGGCATGATGATGAGCTGGTAGAGAAACAAAAAGTGTGGCGTAGATCGCAATAAGTAGTCATTGAAGTTTATGTTTTGTTTAAGAAACTATATATCGTTGTCTTCGTCGTATTATGTTTGTGTCTGGTGATTCGTACATATCACCTTGATCATGTTTCTTTTTTTTTTTTTTAATTTAAAGAAAGTGGGGAATTATGTGATCTCAGTAATGCCTTTTTTTTTTCCAATTTTACTTTCTCTAGTTTTAATTAAAATGATATATATTTTTCTTTCATTTTCAAAACCAATACAAACTTTTCCTTTGTAAGAGCTATATAGATGCTTTTCTTTCTAAATTTACGAAGAATTCTCATGAAATTAAAACGCATCTCTTCTTAATTTGGCTCAGCTCGGGATGTGAGATGAATTATACTGATTATAATTTATAAATAGCATTTATAATAAATTCTATTTTAAAAAGAATAAAGGTATGTAGTCAATTCAATAAAAATTTGTTTAATTTACTTTTTTGTTTTAAGATATTCGCGTAGGTTTTAAAATACACATTGATACTATAATTTAATAAAGTGATATCTTTTTATTAAAAGAAAAGAGTATTTTGAGCAATTCTCTTTAGTGATTTTTTTTTTTTTTACATGTGCCCGTTGATTGATGATATGTAAATGTAACTGTTCTTATAGATACATCTCAAGTTCCATTTACAAACTGTGAAAATAATATATGAAGAAAATTAGTGTTAATTCCGGAATGATTGATAAAAACATGTTTCCCCTTTTGTAATGCAAAGGGAAATAGATGACATGTAAACAAAAACTACCGATTTATTTATTTTTTCATAAAAACGAAAGAGAGTTCCGTATTACTTGTGCAAGCAAGCTTTTGTATCAATATCCTACTTCGTTTCACATCTCAGGCTTACTGCTTACATGTATATCTCAATAATTCCATCTACAAACTGTCGAAATTATTCTATGAAGAAAATTTTTTGAACTAATATTATAGTACTACACATAATTATCCTAATATTTTGTTGTATAAGACTAGTATATTGGATCTTTCCTTATTTCGCTTCAAGGCTGTGAAATGCTTGTTAATAATGTTCTGTGGCCATGGATTCTTCCATATTCGGCTGGCTCTTTTAGCTCTGATTTCTGTAAATGGCCGGTAGTGATGTAAGAGGATTGTTCTCCGTGGAAGCAAGCTCAAAGAAGTAAAACCAGTGATGCAGTGTAAGAATAATGACAAATTATTTTACGTTTTTACTATTACATTATTTAATTACATATTCCTTGGGATTCATCAAGCAAAGAGATGAATATATACCTTAATTATACCGAGCTTTGTCGTAGAGGCTGAGCTTCATTGTTTTGCTGGTCAAGTGGCATATATTGTGCCATGATAGCCATAATCTCGGAATCCATGTAAGACTATGAAAAGAATATGAAAAACGTTATTAGAAACTATGATTAAAGTAAATTCTGACACTAGTTAATTATTGGTAGCTTCAGATTTGTTTAGTGCTCAAACTTTAGGCTTTAAAGGGTTTTGTGTGAGGGGAACGTTGGAGATTATGAAGGAATGATTCATCAACTTTTACTTACCCGGAACCTGTACTTGTAGAACACGTAACCAGCTACACAAGCTCCAACGATAACTGCCACAAACACGAAGGCGAGGAACCGGCCGGATTTTGATCCACTTCTTTCTGTAAAAGTAATTAAAAAAGCTGATAGATCAGTCTAGGTATCAAGGAATGCTGTGTCTCTAAGATAAGAATTGTCAATAACAATAAAATCAAGTAGACATCAAGATACTATGCACTTATGAGTAGAATGATACAAGTTCATTTCACTCGACATCAAGAAATGATCATAAGTGAAAATAAAAACTCACACTGCAGAAGTTTAGCTCTATTATAAAACCAACGGAACCAGAAAATTGATGCATATAGTATAGTTTCATTTCTTTTAGTTGTATAAAAGTGACAGTGCAGAACGAAGAGTTGTTAAGAGTTGATCAACTAAAACAGTAACATATGAAGTCAAGCAGTTTCTGGGAAAAGGAATCCGACAATAGAGCCCCAGTTCATGCTATTCTAACAGATCATTTCTGTAAATAAACAGAGATCTTTGTATATAATGACCAAAATTTCATGGGATTCCTTCCAGATAATGGTCAAGCTAGAATTGTCTTAACTTTGACTTTCACAATCTTACCGATACAAACATCTTGGCCCCTTATATACATAAGATTTCCCTTGCATTTGCATTCATAACTACCCCAAGTGTTCTCGCAGGTGCATCCATCGCAGCGACATACACTGTGTTCCTTACATTCATCAACATCTGCATCAGACCAGAGAATGCTTTAAGAATGTCGAGTTAAGATGTCTCTTAAATTGATCATTTGAAGAATGTCTTGAACTGCCATAATGGGAACAAACATTACCTTCACATTTCATCCCATCCCCAGAAAAGCCAAGTGGGCATTCACACCCGCTCTCTTTGGACCCCTTTATACGAGCAAATTAAAAAAAAAAAAAAGGGAAGTCAGTGAGCCTTGATGCTTGAGGCATGTCAAGGAGGGTACTTTAACATTCTTTTCTTCAAAAAAAAATAAGTTTTTTTTTGGGGGGGGGGGGTGTGTCTCTGAAGGTTAGATTAAGCAATACTGAACTGTGCAAGCCGAGAAATTTATGCCATTTTTACTTTCTGACCAACAACCTCCATTGTTGATTGAACACCTTGCAGGTCCAAAAGCTGTCAAATAGAGGTAAACAGTTATTATCTTATCTTCATCATGAAAATAGCGTAGCACTGTGAATACGTAAGTACTGGAATTGCCTTCTCATGAACTCATTGCGGAATGTTATACACATTGATGAATAGTTTATTCAATCTTAGGTGCAATCCTTTGGCATTTTCTATATGGTTTTCAGATAGAAATATGATATGCAAAGGAAATCTTTCAAGGAATCCATATTGCTGTGCTAAGTGATAAAAATGCCCGTGGTTATATTTTTATTAGGTCAGTGGAAATCACACACGTAAGAAACTTTAACCCAGGTCTCACGAATTCCAAAAAGGCCATACCTTCACAAGATGTATAGCCATCCCCCCTATATTGAATACCATTTGCAATGGGGCACTCACAAACTCTTCCCCTGAAAGTATCCTGTTAAAGATATCAGGTCTCGCTATCAGTTTGATGCTAATTATAATCAATTACTGATAGACCACAATTTAAACATTGAACATTGCATAATAATGCTAATTTTAGAGAGAGAAGAAATAATTGAAATTAATTATTCATATGTACCTTGCAAGCAGTTACGTTAGCTTTTATGTCCTCCCAGCATCCTCCATTCCTTTCACGGCACTGATTTGTCTCGAGATCTAGTAAGCACAAATCCAATACAAAATCACACAATCATAGTTAAAATTCAGAACTTGGAGAATCACTTCAACAGTGCAGCTAAAATAATGAAACTTAAGTGCACCGACCTCCACTTAAACAGATTGAAGGCTCAGTGGTCTCCTTAAATCCTGCACATACAGCCTTCAGGACAGCAGTTCTCTCCAATTTCCCTTTACACAAAACAAGCCAAGATCTTTAGAATACTCATATAAAGGCTAAAAGCAACATTCAAATAAGCAGAAGAAATATTTGCTGCACTAAACATGGGAGAGATTCGGTTTAATAAACAATAAAACCGAAAAGGATAGAGTGAGAACAAATATGTGCAAGAGACAGGGAAGAGGCAGACGATTATACAGAAATACAGCTAAAGCAGAGAGAATGGTAAAAGATGAGGTAGTCATCTGTTTGCAGGCTTTAAGAATGGTAAAAGCTAATGAGTTCAAAGAGAACACATAAGATAATTTAAGCGGAATGATATGTTTTAACAAACCTCGATACTGCTCATTGTTTATAATCAATGTGGGCAAGATGGTAACATCTCCACGAGATCCATGCCCAACCTAAACATTGCAAATGAGGCAAAATAGTCAATTTATGCAAGATTGATTGGTTATAGTTCATTATCTTGTGAATTTGAAAAGATGTAGAACTAAACCTGGACTTTTTGTTCGGTACTTAATACTTCATTCTCAGTATCTGCTTCAGGGTTACCAACACATTCCTTTATTTTCTCGATGGGAAGATCTGAAGTCAAAAGATTAAACTTAAATAAAGTAAAAAATAGAACAATCCAATTCTGATGCAAAAAAGTGTCACAAGTACTTCAAAATCTATTGAAGAGGAATTTGAGTTCTAAAAAAAGTTCATTATTTCTATGTTATTTAGGACACATGCAGCACACAATTCTAAAATTTTCACACTTCTTAGAATTAAAATATCTTATAAGGAGACTTTCAAGCTTGTACCAAACACTGCCTTAAGACTTACCCAGTGATTTCATGACATCCTCAGCACAATTTTTACTGTACTTCTTCTCCTTCATAGAACATCTGATATGGAAATCAGTCACATAATCCCACCAGATCCATGATCGGCTGCTCTCTTTGGCAACTTTGTGGACACAGAGTTGCCTCAGATTCTCAAAAACCACATCCTTCCCTTTATACCCCTCCCAAAAGTTCATCTCGGGATCCGGTGCACAGTATCTGCCATGGTTTATGCATTGAGACTTACACTGTTCGCTGTCAATAAAAGACTTTGGACAAAACCATGTTATATAGTGTGGAGTGAATTGAGTATAACCACCCCTCTCAAGAATCTGAGCATGACCCTTAAAATTCTTCACAAAATTCATCTGTTCATCACAGCGAGCTCCGCATTCATCATTGCTGTTTGTCCACAACTCATACTCAACTCTGCCATCAGGATGAGGCATTGGCCAATCTATCTTGACCAAAATATGACTATCTTTGTCTTTTAAAGCTTCCTTCAACTTTTCACCAAAAGGTTTCCTTATCAGAGCTGATGGAATGTTAATCTTCTCTATGTACCCTTCCGCTGACTTGGTCTTTTCAGGAGAATCCATAGTTAAGAGAGGCTCGTCTTTCTCGTCAACCACTAATACTGCAGCAGCTCCAGCTATTTGAGCATGCCATACTTTCAAGGCAAAAAGACACTCTGCAATTGCAAATAGTTTTGTCTCAGAGTGTGAGTGCCTTGCAAATATCTGGATTCGGAAAATTATATTACGGAAAGGAGTTGAATGCTTTTAAAGGAACATTTTAAACCATTTGAGAAATCAACCATTCAGATCATGTCATACAGTAACAGTCAAAACTCAAATGAAAAGGAAATAGAATACCCTGCGCAGAAACTCTGGAGAGATTCAGTTTCCAGTAACAATTAAACATCCCTAGCTAAGGATAATACATGATAAGGCTTCAGCATACCCATCGCACGAAGCTTGGAGCAAGATTAATCAGAAAAGGAAAAAAAAAATAAAAAACAAGGTTTAGAAAAGTCAACGAAGGAGTTGACTTGAATATACCTCCACGATCAAGGAGAAGAATAGTGGGTAAAGATGGCTCAGACTTGAAGGGCTTATCGCCCTCAAAGGGTTGGCACCCTAAAGCCCCTTTCTCGGGATAAAACACTGAACCTGTCATGTAACCTCCATAATCGGGAACACCGAAGTTTCCAGCGGCACCCACGTGCTTATCCTGAAGATCTTTAGGAGCCATAACGGTGATATCGATCTTCTCCACTATAAATCGAGCACAAACGGAGCTAACAAGAAACAAAACCCAAAACGCGAAGCGAGGGATTATGGAATTTCTGATAAACGCAATGCGATTTTCCATTGTTGGTGAAGAGGAAGGTGAGAAAGACTTTGTGAGTCGTAGTGGTCTAGTGGTGAAAATTTGAGCTTATGGAGAGAGAAAGGTTGGGACTTTGGTTTGATTCGAGCAGAGGGATTGAGTTTATGAATGAAGCAGTGACGTGAAGTAGGGGTAAACGACAGAGGAAGAATGCGAGAACGAGGTGGAAAGGAAGGAAGGAGTCAAGGGAACTGTTGGATATTTTTTTGGAGGGAAAAGACACTGAAACCATGACGCAGGGAAATGTAAAAAAATAATTACCTTTTATTTTTATTTACTTATCAAACTTTCATATTTATATATCAAAACTGATATGTGCATTTTAAAACAAAATCATTTTTAATTTTAGGCTAAAATTTCAAAATTACAGTGACTTTTATGAATTGTCCATTTGTACTTCGGATAAAAATGTAGACATAAAATATCATTTGAGGATTGCTTGTCTTAAAAAGATTTTATTTCAGTTGCATACTAGTAACTACCTTTTTAATTCTTATATCCCAAAAAAATACTTAAAAATATGCAGTTGATTAATGCTCTCAAAATTTTAATAATTTAATTGACTCATTCTAAAACTAAAACAAGTAGTTGAAGTAGAAAATATTTCTATTCTTTGTTTTATGCTAAATTATGCCTATCTTCGTAAATTTGAAGTTATGAATAAATATCACCCTATTTTTGCCATCAACATCAGCCTTATTATTTAAAACTCAACAAGAAATCCCTTGAAACCTTTATACTTGGCCAAATAACCTCTACTATTAACTTGTTCTTTATTATTTTACTAATTCAATGTAACATTATCAAAGAATTATCTACAAGTGACTTAAAATTTAAAAATATTATTTGAGTGTAATTGCATGCAAGTAAAGTTTAATATAGTCTTTTGGTAAAAATTGCATATAATACTTTATTTATTAAAAATAACAGACTAATTAATAATAGGGATTTATCTAAACAAAAGTCTGAGGGATTTGAATGTTTAATTTTATTTTAAGAGTCAGAGAATCCCTTTATTCCACTCCACCTGATGAAATATTAAAAAATATCATTGTCAATTTAACCATATTTTCAATCGACGTTTATAATCTATTATTTGGACGGTGGCATTTCTCTATTTTCAAGGAAATCATGAGAAAAAAAATGAATTTTCTTAATTTAAGATTAATTGAGGACATATTAACTTATTGTTTTATCAATAAATCAGTTAAAGAAGTCCAGCCTAACATACTGAATTGCAAATGGACAAGATTAAAAATTGTTGAGATTAATATATAACATAAATTTATATTAAACCATATATATTTTTAAAAAATTATAAAAGCCTTGCATGAAACTTGTTTTTCTAATTTAAAAAATTGATTTGACGGCATGGTTTTCACGATGGGGCGCCAGAAATGTATCCTATATACGAAACTCCTAAAAAGACATATAAAATAAATTTTAAAAAAAAATCAGAAAGACTTCTATTTTAAGATGGAGAGGAAACATAATATTTTTCAAATCAAACGTGATTTAAATTATAATTTTTGAAAATATTATAATAAGCTCCCGTACTTAATTTATTAGCCTGAGAATTCGGAGGTGTTTTGATAGAAACCAAACCATGGTTTCAAAAGTATTTTTACGGTTTACGAAGTAAATATGTGGAGGAGTTTGCCTCGTTTTGCAGAAAAGTGCTTCTGAAATTATGGTTTGGAGGTTGCCAAACACCCTTTTCGTCGTACAATTTAAGTTGTCATTGTTATCAACCCGATCAATAATCAAATGAATTAATTCACACAAACGTATACCTTTGCAATTGTCGAAGCCCCAGTGTCAAGAGAACTAAGTCCATAGGTTTTCACGGTATAAATATAAAATAAAATATAAAGAACTTAACTTTTCCAATTGTGTGGTTCTTCTTTTGACGATGACAACGTTAATTTCCATTCAAGAATGTTGAAAAGGAAAGGCCAATAAAGTTTCCTTCCACTTTCCTCGCGAACTCAGAAAACCTTATAGCACGGCATTTTCTTTCCAAATGATAATACCTTGTTTGACTTTTATTTTAGTCTTAAATTAAGATCCAAATCTATTTTGTCTCTCGTATTTATGTATTTTTTCTCAAAATAATCCTCCTAACAATAGTAGTTCTAACCAATACATTTGATTAGTAAGGATATTTTAGAAAAAACAATACATATTTATTACAAATAAATAACTTAATTTCTTTTTTTAATCTCTTCAAATTAATCAACTAGCTCTTATAATTAGGATCGGAGGTAGTACTATATATATATATATAAGTTAAACACGTTTTTGTGAGCATAAAATCTGAAACATAAGCCATTTTATAAATAGTGTAGCTTATTATAAACATAAACATAATAAGTACTCTTCCAATTTTAAATATAAGATTCTTTTCGTAGTGTAAATTACACTATGAAAAAAGTCTTATATTTAGAACCGGAGGAGTATCTTTTATCTAAGCCCTGCACTTATATATGCTAACAATTCTTACTTAAGCTCTGAGTATGAAAATTTATATTGATAGTTTTCTGATTACATACAATCAATAAATTTAACTTTTTAATGATATTTTTACGAGTTCTTTTTTTAATATTTATTTTGTATGAGTTGAGTCACTTACATTATTCCCAATGACTTGGTCTTGGGCCTAGTCAACACAAAATGTGCAAAGAGCGTGTGGAAGTTTCAAAGTCTACGTCAATGAGAAAAAAAAGGCTTGGCCAATATGCTCACCTTACTTTCAATTCTTCGTGGCATTAGTTTCTTTTTTTTTTTTTTTCACTCATTTGATCTCATTTATAACTACTTCTAACATATTTTATACAGGTCAATAACAATCTTAAATTTCATTAAGTCCGTCTTAAAATTTAAATTTTTAATTTTATCCATATTTAATATGCATCATATCTCATAAGAACAAAGTTGAGACAATAACAAATGAAAAATAAAATTATACATTCATTCATATGGAAAAATTTTCTCTGACCTAATAGGATTAAAATATTCCTTGTCTCTACGCTATAAATAGGACCAGAGAAGTATATGATATTTAGCATTATTAGGTTATACTACCTCTAATCCTAATTATAAGAACTAGTTAACTAATTTGAAGAGATGAAAAAAATAAATTAAGTTAGTTATTTGTAATAAATAGGTATTATTTTTCTTAAAATATCTTTACTAATCAAATGTATTGGTTATAACTATAATTATTAGAAGGCCTATCTTGGAAAAAATTATATAAATATGAGAAACAAAGTGAATTAGAATCTTATATTTAAGATTAAAATAAAAATCAAATAAAATCTTATATTAAAGACCTATAGTATGTAAATATTATCGGGTTTAAACGAAGATTTTTTCACAAAAATTTTTTTTAAAATCACAAATACAGTGCTTGATCTTACTTCTATTTTCATTCCAAGGGCCGAGGCTCATAACGTTCAGAATTGAATCTGCACGATTTTGACGATTGAGAAAATACGACCATAGCCTTACAACGTACACAAGGGGATTCACACAATCACAGAGCACGGCATGACTTGATTTTTAATTGATTATCATTCTGTGACAAGAATAATTAAAAAAAAATCAATTTCTTGTTCCCTCGCTTTCACTATGCTTTTTGATTATCTAATTTCATAGGCGGGCAAAACAATTCTGCTCTCACTATGCTTTCTTTGATTATCTTTTTGTTTTTTTTGCCGTCTTTCTTGAATTACTGCATCCCAAACATGCACTTAATTTACCAGCATTAGGGTATGAAGATCTTTTAACTGCTGACTTGACATAATTTTGTTGCAAACAATATCAAATTCTAACATAACAAGGCTACATTCTGAAATTGATATAGGGAGTGTTTGGATAGAAACAAAACCATGGTTTCAGAAGTGTTTTTACAGATTACGAAGTAAATATGTGGAAGAGGTTATCTCGTTTTGCGGAAAAGTGCTTCTGAAACCACGGTTTTAGAGCACCCAAACAGAGCCATAGTAGACCTGACAGACTCACAGATCAAAGAGTTGAATCATAGTGCAATTTCAACCGCAACAACTATGTTGGACCCACTTTGATCATTAATTCCTGACACCCCAATTCTTTTCACAGGTCAACTCAGGTCCCACTGAAAAAAACAAGTCAACTATTACCCTGGACCAACCCAAAAAAAACGTTGTGATGCAAAACCTGTGGATCTTGTTTCACATGACATGCCCATCATGGATCATGCTAAGACCTCTGCTTCTTGGATTTCTTCCTTGATACTTGCTCTCCAGCAGATCCAGCAATATATGCTTCGGCGTTTATATTTTCTTCGGATTTGCGCTTCCCCAGCTCTTTTGCTTTTTTCTGCAGACAAAACATTTTGAGTTATCCATGAGAGGAAAATTCATTGGCTAAAGCACTAACTTTATTGTGCCCAAAAAAAATCGTTAGCATATGGTTTACCTTCAATGACATCACAATGGCAGAGACATCCTTGTTGGCTTCCCCGGACTTATCCTCCTGGATTGCTGGTTCCTGAATAATACAAATTAAACAAATGATGAATATCATTAAAAAACAAAAATTTAAAGCACTGTCATGAAAAGTGGAGATTGCTCAAGCAAAGATTAAATCAAACCTTGGGTGGTATGAAAGCCTCCTCTCTTTTTCGTTTGTTTTCAGCAACTTTTTGTGCTTGCTTCTCCTGCTTCTCTTCCCATTTCTTTGCTGACTTCTTTTTCTCACTTAAAAAGTATTCTCCAGTTTCCAATTCTATATCCTCCTGCAATATGCAAAACACACCAAAGCCATCTTAAGCTTACTTCACAAATTAAAAAAAAAAAAAATCAGACAGAAGAAGAGCACAGGCAAGTAAAAACTTCTTGATATACACGACATAACTACAAAGCGACGTGCAAATGGAAACAAAACTCAGTTTCAAACCATAAATGACCAGAAAGCACATATGAAACCGATGATGCAATCCATGATTAGAGATAAATAAACAAAAGATGAGATGAATGAACAAGAATTCAACAGGAAGTCAGCAAGTTGTCAAAATCGTTTTCCTTGCCCTTTTTCAAAGGATCATTAATATCTCTATTGAGGCATTGTTTCAACTGAAAATGTAGTAGGTAGGCAACCTAAGAGACACAATTAATAGATTTTTAGACCGCTGAATAGAAAATAAGTCCTTTCATCTCCCATTAACGTTTATACTGAAGCTCAATTAGCCTTACACAAATTACAGTGCCTTTACCACCGCCAGTCAGGTAGATGACCCTAAGGCAACATAGGAAAGTTTACCAAGAACAAACTGAATTATGGCGCCTTGTCGCCTTTTTTTCTTCCAAATGGGAGAAAACCATTTACTATGTTGAGTAATAAGCCTTAATCATTGATTACAAAATTAAAATGACCACATCTAGCAAACAAAATCAAAGCGGATACTGTACATTAAAAATTGAAAATCCATCCTTTTGACAGAAGAAACTAGCAATGTACTGACCTTAGTAGGCGGTTGAGGTGGGGGGAAAGGAGTATATGGCTTCTTCTTCTTAGCCTTAACCTTCTTTTGCTTAACATTTTTCCTGGAAGAGAATACGAATGGTAAAATAAACAGAAACTAGAAGTAATTTTGAACACCCATACAACCAAAGTAAGTAAATGGCGTACTTCTTGAATTTTGGAAGAAACCTATCCCAATTTTCATTGGCCAACTCTGGATTCTTTTCAAGCTCCTTCTTCATCATCAGAATCTAATAATTTAAAAATAGAGTCAATATTAATCCAATACCCTCAATTTTTAAAAGCATGCTAGATCAAGAGCAAGATTATCCACCTTAATGTTGTACACGGGGTGCATTTTATTCAACATGCATTCTTCGACAATTCTTCTAACTTGTTTCAAGCCCTTAAAGGATCCCATAGCAGCAACTGTGCCCCCCTAATAAATCGCAACCACATTTGAAAGAAGTCAAATCATTCACTACTCTAGCCAAAAATTGCCTGAAAGTAATAGTCCGCCTTCTAAAAGAGGAAGAAATAATTGAAATTACTTGAATGAGGATGTAGCAGCCAGTGAGTATTTCAAGGGCCTGCAATTTTAAAAATAAAAGACATATGAATGCCATAGAGTTCAGTAAGAAATCTAACAGTAGCAGGGGCCATCTCCAGTGCTAAAATATCAAAGCTTGAAGCACACCTTCAAAGTAGCAGAATTAGGACCCATAAGATGCTGTCTTCTTTTCACAAATCGTTCCTGCAGTCAAACAATTACTTATGGCTCTAACCACCAAAACAATTTCTTTTAAGAAGCCTTAACTTCGTGCAAATATTGGACAAACTCAAAAAGTAATATGAGGAACCACTCCAATCTCGTTCTTTATTAAAAAGGCTCTAAAACAGTCAAGCTGCCAACGCTGACAATCCTACTCCATCCCAGTTTAAATTATATTAATCAAAGTGGAATTCAAATATGCCAACCAGAAAGTTATGCTGCAAAACATTTGCACAATCTATTAAAAACTAAGGCTAGGATGTAACCTCTAATAAAAAGGCGTACTCAAATATAAATGCCATGAAGGGCATAAACAGGCCATAGACTAGCTAGCCATGTGAAATATCACAGGCAAAAAAAGAAGTGTATCAGAAGATATCATGCCATGCGTAACTTACAAGTTAGAAATGAACCTAAACCAGTACCTTATTACGGACCAAGCCACTGATTTTGATGATGTCACATTGAATTTCATCATCGAGTATTTTTATTGCCTGAGATCAACAGAATATATCAAAGCATAAATAAGCTGACCATAACAAATATCTCCAATAAATATTGCAGAGAGGAAAGAGAAAATATACTAAACTTCTAAAAACATGGAGACAAAAACATCTATAAGCTAAGCTACATATGACAATGCACAATCCAACAAAGACCCTTTACACATGATGGAACGAAGTTGAATGCTAACAATAATTAAGCAGTGAAGACTGATTTACAAAAGTTTGCATTCTCACCTGAGGGGCAGGCACACTTCGTGATAGAAGTTTTATAAGATCCCTGGCTTTCATAATGATAAATGGATCCCTAGTCTTTCGGGTAGTTGAAACAGTCATTGATCCCTCCACCTGCCCATAAACCAACACATAATAAATAAGAAAGCACATATCCAAAATAATAATACTCATAATGGCCTTTCGATACCATATGTTCTCATCTAAAATATAAAAGAGCACAATTAATCTCATGCATTTCCTAATAGCAATACTCCGCGATCCACAGACTTAAATAGACGACCTCAAAAGGGCAATAACAAGCACTTACCAGATTTAGTTCACTTGAAATACCATACTCTTTCAAAGCAGATTTTACCATGGGCCAAACTTCTTGCAAGTATTTTTCTGAGAAAAGAATTAGAAATACACAAGAATAAGACACCATTGTATGAACCATTTTCTTTTGCATATGCATACAAGAATAAAACCCAAAGTAACATATATACACAGCAAGGTATGTTCATTGATAACGCAAGATGACAATAAAAACTGATCCCTTGCTTATCTGAGAGACCAGGCATACCTCTATATTGGGGGAAAAGTGTGGAAAACGAACTAACTTCAAGCATGCCACCTTCGTTCCAAGAAGGGTCAAATTTCTCAATATTCCAGTGGTCAATGTTTGGGTCTTCATCCCATGGCTTGGGCTTGTCATGCTTGCCCTTCCGCTTTTCCTTTGGTTTGGTACTAGGGTTTTCCCCATTTGCTTGGTCCATCACTGCATCAGATACTCCCATCTACAGCCAATGCAATGATCAAAATCAAACACATGAACAAAATAAAACTAAAGTATAAGCCTTCCCAGCTTATGCCAAGATAAATTCCCAACCTAGAGATCATGGCAGAATTTGCCAGCATATCGTCTCACTTCCCATAGGTAGTAAAGTCCTTAAATGTCCAGAAATCGTTCATTTTTCACATTATTGATACAAAATGATAGGTGTAAAAAAAAGCTTTGAAGCACCTCCAGACTTAGAGAAAATCTGTTTAAGCTTCATAGCCGGTCCCAGGCAAGATAAAGGAAGAGTGTTGAGTTAGGCTCTTGACAGCCAACGCAAAACTTTTTCAAATCTCTAATAACATGGGTCAAAGATATTATTGTTGTTGAGTTGTCGTCGACTGATAGAATGTGCCCCCAGTCTTAACCACAATTCTATTACAACTTATCCAGATGTCATTAAGTTTCTTCCCAATCAGAATTACAAGTAGATACCCAAAAAAGGTTTATTAAACACTTGATCAAGCTAAACAAGGGCTTAATAAGCAAACTTGCTGACCCAACGAACAGAACAAACTAAAATACGTTAAACAGAGCAACTACGTCCTTCAAATCAAAGCATTAACCCATATGTTGACAATAGAAGAGAGAGCACAGACCTGAAGATGAACTTGCCCGAGAACAAGAAGAGGAGGAGAGTCGCGAGAGACGAATCCAACGAAGTAAATATAGAAGCGGCCTTCAAGAAGGAGAAAATGATGAGAGGTGACGCGTCGTGCAGAGAAGGAGCAGCGCCGGTGACTTGGAGGTGACCTGATGGTTAGGGTTCAGCAGCGGCGCCGACTGGGGAAGAGAACTCGGAAAGAAAACGGGCGTTTTTAGTACAAAACTGACGAGAGGGGCGCCGGACAGAGGGAGGGAGTCTCAGTGAGACGACAACGTTGATACTTCTTAATTTCTTTCATACAAGGGGAAAAAGAACTTGAGTTAAAAAAAAAATTATAATAAAAAACTTCTAATGGTAAATGAGTAACATTAATTTCCTTGTTACTTTTTGTATTGAAACTTTTTTTTTTATAAGTCAGAGTATTTTTAAATTATTTTAGATTTGAAATTAATTTATGTTCAAAAAAATTATAATAGAATTAATTATTTTATAAATTTAATTTTCTGAAATTTGAATTTATATTCTTCTCCTTCTCCTCACAGAATAAAATTACTTATGATTAGGTTTGCAACGAAACTTTTTAATAATTATATTTCATTCCTAAAACAATAGTAATTTTTTTTCCTAACAGGGTTAGTTTACAAATTCATTTTAGTTATGTTAACACTATGCATGTCTGATATTTCATATTTGTTTTGTTTGTTTGACCACGGACGTGACCAACAAGAGAGTTTATTGAAGGCAAAAAAAACAAAACAAACCAAGAAAAAAACAAACCCATAAGATAGTTCATCGAGTCCCGGTAAAAAAAAAAAAAAGAATAAATAAGGTAAATTTTTGCCTTATAACACACATTTTTATCAGTTAGCATAAATCCAAAAACATGTTTTTTTATGTTTGCGCTGCGAGCTAAATAAAATTTCAATGTTTACTATCAACTCTTGGCAATGCATGCCTATACTATAGAATGGAGACTTTTACTTTTTTTTTTTTTTTTTGTAGAGTTGAAGGTGGAATTGCATTATACTAACTTTATGGTCCTTAATATAAGATGTGGATAATTAATTTATGGATATTAAAAAAAATTAGTTAAATTAGTTTTTTGTAATAAATGAGTGTCATTTTTTCTAAAATACTCTGATTAATCATGTATATTAAAACAAAAACATTTGACAATCACTATAAAGACTACTTTGAAAAATACTGTATAATAATGATGATGGTGGGAGAAAAAATAAATTAAAGTCTTATATTTAATATCAAATTAAATCTCTAATTAACTCTTATATTTAAGATAAGAGGTAATCTCATAATATTTAAAGGATAATTTTTTGCCTTCGTCCATTTACACATGGCATAATATGAGACTCACGTATCTTACTTTAACCATTGTCTCACACCTGTCATTAGCAAGCTGACTGGAGCAAAAGCCAGCAACCCCTCACAAATTGCTTTTGAACTATTTTTGCAACTTCATCCGTCTTAATACACCATTCTTCATTTTGATTAAATTAAAGAAAAAATTAATCTTTTTATCTTTTAACTTTTAACTTAGTTATGTCTCAATTTCTCACCTATAATTCAATATAATTCAGTCTCTGAACTTTTAACTTGGTTAAAACTCAATTCTTAACCTTTTTATACTACCTCAGGTCCTAAAGATAAGAACTAGTTGAATAATTTGAGTATATCAAAGAAATAAATTAAATTAGTTATTTGTAATAAACATGTATTATTTTTCTTAAAATACCCCTGATAATCAAGTTTATTGGCTAAAACTATCATTGTTAGAAGGATTATTGTGAAAAAAATAGATAAATACGAAAGACAAAGTGAATTGAGATCTTATATTTAAAATAAAAATAAAAGTCAAATGAGATGTTATATCAAAGATAGGAAGAAATATTTAATAAATTAATGCTTTTCATCACCCAGTCATCCTATATGGCAGAAGAGGTTGCTCACATGGCTTCCAAGTAAGCCCCACGTGGCTGGGATACAGTCTGAAAGACATCTCCGCACAACCTACAGGAATCAATGCTCCATATCTGTTTCTGGACACCACCACTGCTTGCGAAACCCACACCCTCAAAAACAACCATCTCTCTCCCATAATCTCCCGTTTTCTCCTCACAATTAAGCAAATCTCTAGTTCTCTCCCCACAATTAAGCAATACAATAATGGTGTACGCCTAAACCGATATTATGAACTCTTGCTGCTCTTGTTAAGGCAATTTGGACTCTCCTATCTATTAATTACTTGAATGTCGAGATTCCAGAGGCTGCGCCTTGCTCAAGAGGAAGGTGCTTTTATTTTTCTTTTCTTTCAAAAGATCATTGTCCGTGCAAAATGGAAATGAATGGTGCTGTAACTGACAGCAGCTACAATCCGTCTCAGAGAACTACGTCGGTGAGGGAATTGTCGTCTCCGATAGCTGTGCATGGCAGGGAGTTGCCTTTCTTCGCAAGTTGCTTCAGCCGAGAAATTTTTCATACTACATTCCAGCCATGTGGAGCTTGGAAGCCATGTGAGCAACCTCTTCTCCCATATAGGATGACGAGGGAATGAAAAGGATTAATTTATTAAATATAAAAAAATTAGGGACTCACCATTTTCTTTTAGAGTTGAAGTTGAATTTGCATTATAGTACTTTTAGTCCTTAATGCAGATAATTAATTTGCGAATATTAAAAAAATTAGTTAAATTAGTTATTTGTAATAAATTAGTATTATCTTTTCTAAAATACTATTATTAATCATATATACTAGAATAAAAACATTCAAAACATTTTAATACGTATAATCACTATAAGTACTACTTTGGGAATAATAATAATAATAATAATAATATGAGACAAAATATATTAAAATCTTATATTTAAAATTAAATTAAATCTCTAACTAATTTTTATATTTAGAGCATGAGATAGCGCAGTAGTATTTTAAGGATATTTGTTTGCCTTAACCTATTTACACATGGCATGATATGTGACTAACATACCTTACTTTAACCAATGTCGAACACCTCTTATCCAATAGGAATTGTTGCATTGTTTTGGCAAGTTGATAGGGGCATAAGCCAGCAACCCCTCACAATGCTCTTGAACTATTTTTGCAACTTCATCCGTCTTAATATACAATTCTTCACTTTGATTAAATTAAAACATATCAATATTTACTTGTTTATGAATTACATGTATAACGTACGAAGAAGAAAAGCATCAGGACCGCAAAACCATCCCAATAGATAGTCTGACTTTGACCGCGTTTTTCTTATTTAACAACCGTACCTCGCCCATCAAACATGCACATGACATTCAAATAGGAAATTTTAATAAATTTGATTTGATACGGTCACAATCTGGACCGCACATTTCTGGTTTTTTCGGTCCTACCAGGAATTAGGAGGTTTCTCTGGTAATGCTTTTATGCCTTTCTTTGTGGATTTTGAATTGTGGTGGATGATGGCTTAATTCTACCGTAATTGCCGGTTCAACGGAGTTTTTCTCAAACTTCAGTTGTTTCTTTGCCTTCCTGATATAGAAGGTGTTTCTGGTCAACCAAAAAAAAGAAGAAGATATAGAAGCTGTTCACAGGGCTGCATTCAGCTTCACAGCATTGACATCAGAGGGGATGGGCATCATGGTGAAATAAAAGCTTGGTCTTCTCACAGTCGATCCATAAGGCCAGGCTTCAGTTGGCTTTGGTTTTGCTGAATGTTTTTAAGAACCTTAAAAGAAAAAAATCGAATATTTAAGAACTGGGGAAAAACCGCAGGATTTTTACATGAAACACAGAGAGAGAGAGAGAGAGATTTTTCCATTGGAAGATTAAATTCCACAGTAAGAACTCATGCACAAAAATTTAATGCTCTATATCCTTCTCGTTTAAATTCTAAACATAACCTTAGACATTCCTCGAGCTCTAGGCTAATAAACACGGTAAAGATTTCCTCTTTAGCAAAATTTTTAACATTCTTGATGTATCAAGGGTGTCACACTGCAACTCTCAACTCAACCTATCACAGCCTGCAATAGAAGACACCAAAATAAAAGTTTAATTCAAAGGGAGATTTTGGAAGAAACTAAAATTATTATAATTTGCAATTTTGAAGACACTTGGGATTGAAGGAAGTAGTAACTCCTCATCGCCAAAATAAAGTGTTTAATTCAAACACATAAGCCCGATAAAAAATATGAAACAAGAAACCAAATAAAATATGGTAATAGAGCAAACTGCATGCAATACCTCATGCACACCAAAATTTTGAAAACAACTAGTATAGAATTGCATTTATAAAGCAATTAAGACTTAAACAGCCAGTTTGCTTGGCAAATAACAGACAACAAAAGGCAAAAACATAACGGCCATGTTTGGATGGAGGGGAAAATGGGGGGCGGGAAGGAAGGAACTTCCAAAATAGCAAAAAAAATTTACTATTTCTGCTAATTTTCCCTCCTAATATTCTTTCATCCCTAATTTTCTTCCCATCCATACATAGGATACGATTAGAAAACAGTACAAGTTCTGAAAACTTGCATTCACTATTTAGTTCAGCTATTGAATTAATGGCACATATCGTCATAGGCTTTAAGTAAGCAATTCTATTCATGAAATAAAAGCAATCTTACAATATCGAAGCAGTCTGTTACTTTCAACTAAGAATGTAGCAGACATTTAATACCCTATTATTTCAAGTTCAGAACATTACACGGCAACTAGGCATTGGTCTTTTAAGAAGAAAGTTCGTTATATATGATGCCAGAAGCCTAATGTGTTGGAAATTGAGAAGGCAACAACTGGCAGGGATGAGCATTAAAACATTAGGTACTCTTTTATCATAGCTCAAACTACTAAAAAAAGTATTACTGTCAAGATCCAAATTCTCGAAATACAGAGCTGATGTAATATAAAGGCAAGATCTCAAACTGGAAACAAAAAGCAATCCATTCCATGCTTCCTAAAACATTGAAAAAAAATAAAATGATACTGCATCAAATTTTATATAACACTGTCATGACATAACAAACAAAGCCTCAAACTTTGCAATCACAAGCAGGAGACTCAGTGTTGAAGATGAATGAATATCATTACCATTATCAATTGGAGTTATATGTGCTTCCTCCTAAGCTTGCCTTTACCGCCGCCGCGCTTGCCTTTACCACCGTGCCTGCCTTTACCAACCTTGAATTTCCTTTTAGATTTCTTCCCAATTCCACCAACAGGCTTAAGGGAAGCCAAGCTTTGGTCCCCATCACCCATCTCCACATCTGGAGAATTTATTAGAAAATCCAGATATGAGAATGTCCACATGGAAGATAAAAGGTAACACACATTAAACCAACAATTTAAGCTTAAAAAGATACAACAATAAAGGAAAAGCCTTTCCTTTTGCCTTCACAATAATTTAACAGATGAAACCCAATAGTGTTACACAGGCGGTGATTCTAGCCCCGATGGCAGGGGAAAGTAACACCGTCTTAGAATCTTATTACTCAAACATTTGATCAGTATATTAGAGCAGTTGACCAATTAGCTGTAATGAAGCTTGCGGGTACGGATTAAAGTCCAGGCTTTTGTACGGACATAACCACTACTACAGTCCCATACAGCGTAAAGATTAGTTGGAAAAGAAATAATCAATCCTACTTCTTTTTAGCCGTTGATGATCAGTTCTACTTCATTCGATGCTTGTTAATGCTCAGACATCAAAGAAAAAGTTTACAAAAGCCCCCCAAAAAATTAGAACAGGCGATCAATTATTACTTCATCGTTTGCAAGTAAAGCGTGGCTCACATATAGAGTCTCATAGTGTTATAACTACATATAGTTAAAAGGCAAAGTTTAATATATACTATTTTTAAAAAATCAACATCTTTCACAAAAGCAAGCAGAAAATTACAAGGCTGCATCGAACTTCACGCAATTAAAGACGCAATCTTCATCATCAAAACGTAAACAGTTAACAAAGCGGATCATACCCATATTGGCAGTGACCGCTGTGGTGGAGGTGGAAGCGTCCATGGCGGTGTTGGGTGGTTGTCGAACAGGAAGCTTAGGAGCGGCGAGGGCAGCCTCTTGGGCGGCGAGCTTAGCGGCTTCTTTCTTATCGTAGAAAGGCTCGACGATCTCCCTGCGAATAGCCTTCAGCCTCTTCTCCCTCTTCGACCTCAACGACTTCGCCATTGTCTTCTTCGTTTGCCCTCTGCTGTTTTGGGGTTTTAGGGTTTATACTTTCAGAGGCGCTTTGTGGTGTGTGGATCTGTTGAAATTTATACGTTTATAACTGAGAGAAAATAAATTTTAAAAAAAAAAAACTATTTTAAAAAATTAGTTTTTACGCTTATTACAGATCAAAACGCAAATCGGGAGTGTCGTTTCGTTCCAAGCAGAGTGCGGCGTTCCCTTGCCCTCCCTCCGGCCTGGAGCACCAAGGACAGTGAGCCAGAGTTCCCGGTTTCCAGCCACTTGAGATTGCGCCTCCCAAGCTGCGGTTTTCTTCCACCCAGGTATTCCCTTTTTTTCCCTTTTCGTTTTGATTCAACTCGATTCGATTCCTCTAGTCTTTGTTTTTATCTGCTGATTCAGTCCGTGCTCATTCAGATTCTTCGTTCATCTCAATGGTGGCACGCCGAGGCTTCTTTTGTTTCACTTGCTACATATATTAGTCATATTCCATTTATGAGCTGTTTCTCTTTCACGGGTAGCTTAGGATTGTCCTAAGTCTTCATCGATTTCAAATTAATTCAATCTGCATAACATTGTATAAACATTCGAAATGCGTTCATATGTTTTGTAATTTGCCCAAAGAGTTAATGTTTCTTACCCTTTCAGGTTTCTTATTATAATATTCATTTGATTTTGATGACTTTAATCTTTGTTTCTCTAGCTGCTTGATTCTGTTCATGCCGCTGTTTCAAACTCTTAACTCCTTTATTTCATATTATTGAGTACCTATCTTGATATGCTATGGATTTTTTTTTCTTCATTTGACAAGCTACAAAGTCCATTTGAGTTCATACAAATGAAGGAGTTGGTATGGCTGTCCTAAATCTTCACATTCCAAAGAAGTTTCTGCTTTCCTAACCTCATTTAGGAATTCGAGATGCTGCTGCTTATGGACTATGTTTTGTCATTTGTTTGTAGAGTTGGTGTTAGTGTTGTTTGACTCTCGAAGGAGGAGGGTGTTCATTTAGGTTTCAGAACAAGGACACAGTATGTTCGGAACAGCAATTAGGTACTTTGCCAAGAAAGCAAAGCCAAAGATGCGACCAGTATCTCTCAAAACGCCGCCCGAGCAGAGGCAGGCCATCACTAGGACTCTCTTTGATATTGTGAATGAGCATGGACCCCTCACCATTGGAGAGACATGGCAACGTGTCCAGGTAATATACTCCGTCAGATTTATTTATGCAGCTTGAATTCCCTTTCACCCACTACGTACTCTGAAACCTTTTACAGTGTTTGTTATGTAGGAATTTTAACTTCAGAAGTAGTTGAAAATTTTGAGGTTTATGTGTCATCTTCGAATTCAGACACATCTCAACAATAACTTTTCGTCAGTAAATGATTGAAATTTATCACCTTGGCATGCTCTTTGGTCTCTTGGATGATGATTAATTGTCATGATGTAGGCCATGGCAAGCAGGATATTCTGTTTACATTACATTGAACCAAGTCACGTTTAGGAAAAATTGCATTTGGAATGGGCAAGCAGTTTGTTCAAAATTTGAGGTGATTCTGAGCAATGTGCGTTGTAGGCTGAGCAAAAGATGAAGAAATCCAAAGAAACTCATTCACCTGTCCCAGAAATTAACAGATTATTTTTCGTTACATGAACATGCATACGATGCAAAAGAAGTGGAAGAGAAAGGAAAAGTTTTTTTTGGGGGGGGGGGAACGGAGGGAGAGAGAATCAGACATGAACAGATTCCAATTAACAGTCATAACTGCTTCTCGGGCTTGTCATGTAATACAAGCCCCTTCTATTCATTATTTAAGTCACTAATATGCAAGGAGTTTACACTAACTAACGCCAAAGTTCCTAACTACTACCCTCTCTTCCTTCATTCATATCAGTGTATGAATTCTTGGTCTTTGCTTTCAGTAAATGTTGATGGAGAACAAGGTAGTGTAGAATGTCTGAATCCCACATCGAGTGGTATGAGATGTTCTACGATCTTTCTACTCACTCTTTTTCCTGTATCTCTCACTTCAGTATCAGTTTACAAACTTCTAGCTTCCAACTTCTGAGGACGCAAATTTATTAATTGAAACCTGAGGTATCTTGCAAAGCGTCCAGACCCCTTGCCAGTGACCACATGCATTGACTTAATTTTCTTTAGATTTGACAGATCTTACTTGTGACTTGCATGAACATGGATCAATAACAGACCATTTTGATTGTTTGAAGGATGTTGGATTAAAAGATTTGGCAAGCAAGACTCAAATGAAATTAGTTCTGAGATGGATGAAAGAGAGGCAGAAGCTACGTCTGATATGCAACCATGTAGGGGCTCACAAGCAGTTTCTGTATACCACTTGGTTCTCAAAGGACAACATAACTCAAGCAACAGCAAAAAATCTTCCTTCAAAGCACAAGTCTTCTTGAAAGTTGAAAGCTTTTTATGAGTAGTAGCCAGGAGGATGTGATGGGATAGCTACTTAGAGTTATGGGAATAATGTGTTAGGCCATATATAGCTTTGGCTCCATAACTAGAAGATCTGTTTTGTTGAGTTAGAGTTTTTGTTATTAGTCTGTCTTGCTTCAGTTATTCATGTTGGTTTTTGAAATCAAAACCATTCTTTTCATCGCAAGTCTTTACGGATTTCAAACATATTTTTTGCAGTTTGAAAATATTAGAAGAGATTTATGAAAGTTTAAGAAAGCAATGAGTTTTTGTTACCCAAAAAAAAAAAAAAAGAAAGAAAGCAATGGGTTTTATCCACTTGTCAAACATAAGAGAAAAAAAAATCTCAAGTCATTTTTATTGTATAAGCTATACCTCAGTGAGTATTTTAAAGATTAAACCACCTTAAATTAAAATGTCTCCCAGTAACACGTATTACTTGTTGGGGAACAAAACATTATTTGATCCCATCAAACAGAAAGTGGCATATTTTTCGTGCAATATTAAACGGTTTTGGGTTCCAAAACTGAAAAAAATTATATACCCCTTAAAGGGGTGTTTGGAAACACTCAAAAGAGCTTCTCAAAAGTATTTTTTCGTAAAACCAGGTAAATTTCTTCACATATTTACCTCATATATCGTAAAAACACTTTGAAGATTATAATTTGGTTTCCATTCAAACACCTCATAAATTAGGTTGCAGAAAGAGAAACGATGACCTGAGATTAATCAAAATGTCAAATTATACTACTACCTTCGGTCCTTAATATAAGAACTATATAAAAATTAATTTGACTTTCAATTTGATCTTAAATATAAGATTTTAATTTACTTTTAATTTACTTTGTTTCTCATATTTATCTTCTTCATTTTTTCAAAAGTTTTCAAAATAGTCATTGTAATAGTTATACGTATTAAAAGTTTAATTAAATAATAGTTTTAGCTAATACATAGTTAATAATATTTTAGAAAAGACAACACCTAATTACTAAAAATAACTAACTAAACAAACTTTTTTAATTTACTCAAAGTAATCAATTAGTTCTTATATTAAAGACAGGAAATAGTATTATTTAGAAATTAAATTAGTTAATTTGGTTTTATAGTGTTAGATTCTCAACATACTATATGCACGAAGTTGTTGTTATCAACGTCTTCAATATATTTCTGTAAGTTAAAAAAAAAAAAAAAAAGCCACGCAGCTTAATAATTATAAATATTATCCCTTCGGGGACATTCGATAAAAAAAAAAAAAAAGCACTATAAATATGTCCCATAAACCGTCCAAGGAATGTTTTGAAAAGCTACACAAATATACTTAGTCCCAGAATTAAAAAAAAAAAAAAAACTAACAAAACAAAGCTTAAGAACAAAGATATTAAGATTAGGAGTGACAGTGAAGCAGAGACAAGAAGAATATATAGTACATTGGGTACAAATCAGTCCCAAACTCCAAAAGATTTGCACAGTAAGAGATTCTTGTCCCAAAATGAAAGCTAGGAATTTCTTAGCACAAACACAATTACACAATGCTAATGCAGGTTCTCCATCCCTAACTTTTCTTCTCTTTTTCTTTTTCCTTCATTGCATGACATTCCCATTGGTTTTTTTTTTTTCCTAAAAAGTTTCGAGAATACCAATTTCATCACCTCCCATAATATAAAAGCAGTATCAGAACAGCAAGTTTCCACCACTTGAAACTCGGATTATGCTTTCCCATTGGAGCTGCATTTGAAGAAGCAGCAGATCTGTGACATGAAAAATTATGCCCTAGTTTGAGTCAATCAATATATATATAAGCTGCTTCTTTCAATGTAGAAAAGTAGCGCTTAAGATTCCATACATACCCAGATTTAGCATAGTTACACTTCCCATAACCTGCACAGAAAGAAAGCATCTAAGTTCTCTCAAATTTATATCAGTAAGACATGAACATGATGAAAACAATGTTTCTTTCAGAACTTCCTCATATTGTTAATGCCTTTCACACTTTTTATGGAGAACACATATAAATAGTAAAAACTGATGAGTAAAGCAAACCAAAAGTGGAAAGTACAAAAAAACGCTGAGATTGGATGAAATTGCTTGTGCCCCAGCGTTTAAAACCTTTAAGCCATCTCGCACAAAATAAATAGAGAGAATCAAATGCAAAAAGCTAAAGGAAAACTTTTGCGCAATGCTTTGTATTCATCAGCCAGAAAGAAATTAAGGACCACAAATTTCACATCACCAAACACTGCACAGACACAACCCTGTTACCAAAAAGGGAAAGGTGGTTACGTAAATGGCAATAAAGAAACCAAAAATGGCAAGTAGATAAGGTTGTTTTCTTTACAAAAAGCATAGACACAAACCAAAAAACATGAATGAGATAAGGATAACACAGGCACTCAATGAAACACTAAGTGTTTATGTATGAATTAAAGAATCATTTCATGTCTTGTACAAGCGCACGACGCACATAGACCTGCCTCCTTCCTTGACCAGATTTGAAAGGCATTCATATTTAACTTACTAGGGTTTTTCCTAGTGAGAGTGGCAGTTCCACCAAAATTGCAGGCAACATCAGAATTCCCATTTTGTTGATAGTAGCTGTTGAATGCATATGATGCATGAGACACCAGAGTGTCTGGATCATAGCATGGTCCTCCTCCTTGGATGGCAGTACAATCAGCCATTCCAAGGCCACAAGCCCAGTCTAGAGCATTCTGCAAATCAGCTTGGGAAACGCCGGGAAGAGCCACACACCATGTTGTGCCATCAAGAAAAGTTGTGTTGCCTTCTGGGGGTGACAGAGTTGTGACTGGAATTGCTGCATCTGCCTTTTCTTGCACAGCTATTCCCCTTCCCGTGACTAAATAGCATTTGCCAGAGAAACAGACGCACATCATGAGTTGTGATTCAGTGCAGTAATAACTTAATGAACTAAAATTTGAAATTAGGGAGGGGGGGAGAGAGAGAGAGAGAGACTTCCACTTCCCTTCCTGAGCATTTTGAAACCTACACTGCCCTTCCTTATTTTTGAGTTTTTACTAGGATGAGCTGATCTTCTGATGATTCGAGGAGAAAAATGCACAAGGCTTGGGTAGGAATTTCCCATTTTCATAAACAAAAAAGGGTTTGAAATTCAAGGTGGCTGAAGTATCTCAAATACGATTTAATCTAAAATCCAATTTAGAACTGGAAAAAGAGAGAGAGAGAGAGAGAGAAGAAGAAACTAGCTAGTCAAAGGTTAGTAGCTTTGTTTCTGATCTTAGCACCAATTAAATTGTCTAGTAAGCCTAGAACCTAAACTTTTATTTGTTATGCCTGAAAAGGGGAAAATGGAATAAAATCCTCAGGTCATTACTTTTGTTATGCCTAAGATATGCACATTTTAGAAGATCTGGAAATTCTGATAGCATCCAATAAGATCCATAATGGAAGTAAAGTGCGTGAACCCCATCATGCCTTTCCTTTATTATTTTTTCTTTATTTCTTTCTTTCCAAAATCTAAAACTTCATCTTCATTTACCAAGCCAAAAATCGTCATTTTCTGGGGTTTAAGGTTTAAAGTCCACCGTTAAGAAGCAGAGAAAGAGATTCACCGTAATATACAGAAGCTGGACTAAATGGTCCGGTATAAAAGTCAAGGACTTCAAAAAAGAATCATGGTTATTTATTTTTCTTCCTGTTCACAAGACTATAAGGTAAAAGGAAGTTAAGGAATATTTGGACTAGGATTTTCTTTCATGTTTTGGTTTTCTTCCCCCTAATAAGAGTAGAATAGAATGAACTTTTCACCATTTTTCTCTTTTTGGGCCAAGAGGTTTTCACCATGCTTTGCTTCCTGGATATAATGGAGAGCCAAAGACTACATTTTTCTGGTTTAACATTACAGGAATTATGAGGGACACCATTTTTGCTTCGAAGGGAAAGAAGACCAACAAAATATAGACTAACTAATTGCAACACAGAAACGGAGAGAGAAAAGACCAACCAGAAGCAAGAAGCTAAGTGCCCATGGCTACGAACTAAAATGGGAAAAAAAAACAAACAGACAGAAAACAGATATATACCCACATAACTTTTCCGAAACAAACATCATAAAAACATGAAGTTTAAACCAAAGGGTGAGAGACAAAGCATACCCAGATGAGTTTCCAAGAAAACCAGGCAAAGAAAAACCCACACCATGTTGCTCATGCTCATAGATGCACTTGGACCAGCTTCCAATGGTGTCTTCTTGCTCGACAGAATGTGACTTAATGGTATTCCCGCTTTAAACATCATAGCTCCCCATCAGCGTCATGAGTCTGAATCAGTAACTTTCTCGTAGTTCAAAGAAGAGAATGAAAAGCAATAGAGGATTATAATGGGAAGAGCAGGTGGTGGTGGTCATAGGGGAATCAGAAGTTGCTTGAAGGGGAAATTTTGTTTTCTTTTTAGCTTTATTTGGTGTAATGAAGTAATTAATGGACAAAGAAGAGATGTGATGCTGATGCATCCTTCAGAAGCTAGTACCATCTTTGGCAGACTACGGCCAGCCCTGGATTGAATTCATTTTAGACTTTCTTTGTTCTTACGCGCCTTTAAAAGGTGGTAGACTGGACGGTGGTACGCTGTTCGAGTGTCATCAGAATCAGAAGCAAGGTAAAATTTAATGAAAAAAATTACCGTGAGAGTTTTTGTGTTTTTGAAGTTTTTTTTACAGTACACGTCAGGGTGAAATCCAACTATCCAAGGAGACATCAAAGGAGGTTGTGTCGCAGTTTTTTCATTGAAGAATTATTATAAGATTTTTAAGGAAGAAATATAATCACTAAAATAATCCCGAACAGCAGGCTATGACAGGTTTTAACAAAAAAAATAATAATTGATTCATATGCTGAATATATACATTTTTTTATAAGTTGTCGTTCACCTAATTTCTTTTTTTCATTCACAACTGAGATTTTCATAAATAGTTACAACTAAACACCAATTTTGTTTTCGTAATCCCTTCATTAATCATCTCCTCTTTCAACAAAAAGTTGGTTTGCTTGTGTAAAGCTACTTATTGTAAGCACATTTATAATAATTTTTTTTTACATACTTATCTAAATTATAATTGAAATGATATTTATGAATGTTTCAATTGTCATTCCAAAAAAGTCAAAAAAATACAAAACCTTTTGAGCATATTTATCTAAAGCTTGAGGTAAGGACAGAAATAGGTCAGGCAGCCTGTCAGAGACCTATGACCTGACTTGTATTTGACCTGGCCTTATCTGTTTTAAAATAGAAAAAGGCTCAGGCTTTTTGATGGTCTGTTTAGCCTAACAAGCTAGGTCTAGGATTTTTAGAAAGCTTGTTAGGCCTGTCAAGCCTGGCTTGACTTTTTTTATCTTATTTTTTATTTTTATTTTGTATTTATATATAGTTTTATTTTAAATTTTAAGAGATAATTATAACTTGTTTTCAATAATATTAACTATAATTAAGATTTAAAATATTACTTATGATATTAAAATTTAAATAAAAGATAATAATAAAAAATAGTTATTATGTAGCATGTATATTTTACATTTTTTTATTAGTCTATTTATTTTTTATTATGCATTTTGAAAATTTTAAAAGTACAGGCTTTTTTAATAGACTCAACCTAAGCCAGGTCTTCAAACTGGGAAAAAAAAAAACATGTTACTAACCACATGTCAGGTTCAAGCCAACGTGTTACTAAACATGCTAGCCTGTTGAGGATAAAGCTTGATATGTTTTGACCCCTAACTCGAGCATTTTGATTACATTGTTTATATGTAAATCTAAATGAGATATTTCTTTGGGCTTTCCCAGCTTCTTCGCCTTCGATAAAACGCCCAATAACAATCATGTTGATTGCTCGAGCACAATTCATCATGCGTCTGTACTTTTTATTTCCTCATGTTTTGACCCCAACGAAAACCTAACCGTGATGATTCGGTGGATACGTTTCGAGATTTTGACAGGAATCAAATTTTCGCTCAATCTGTTTATTTTGTAATGTTCTTAACATGAGTTAACTTCAACCAACTTAGCTTAAAATTATGATTTGGTTTTCATCCAAATACTCTTTTTATTTGGTATAATATTTAAATTTACGTCTACTCAATCTTAAATAGTAAGCAATCACCCATACCAAATATTTTTTAATAAATTTTCTCAATCATAATATTAATTATTAGTTCTTATTGTCGATGTTTCATGCCAAACGAGACTTATGAGCTCATTTTTCTCCCACAACCTCTATCATGAGCTAGGAGCCACAATAACAATTTCATTTTTCTCCGAAATTGACACTCTTTGTAAGCCTGCATGCATAGCTCATGAGAGGGTAGGCACTAATGGCTTAACATTATAAATGAGATTAAATTCATAACTTCTCATACACAGGGGAGTTTAGATGCCACTAATCTTTAAAATCACTGGCAATAAACCTTGTTTGATAACATAGACAATGAGATGAGATGAGACTCTTGGGTGTATTACTTAAAATCATATTGAGATTCAACAACTTGGTCCACAGCAGTGCATACTTCTTTTCACAACCATTTTTCTTATACACAGTAGTTTAAACTTTGCTCAAATTTGTCACTTGCCTTTCAACTTGTCTGTTTTCTCTCCCCTCCCTGTTCAACATCAAAAATGCATTAATAATGTAACATTCTAGGGGGAAAACAAAAAAGAAAGTCACGATACTATGAAACCATATTGTTTCAACATTATTTGCTGTCTTGCCGGAGAGAGACCATAGTTAAATTCAGTAATATTTCAAAAATGGTCAACGTTCAATTAATTAGATTCGCTAAAATTTGTGCACTTGACCCAGTCAAACTTTCCGCCGCAAGGTAGCCAGCCGACGACTACACTGTTGTCTATTGGGCTAATTTATGGGCCGATAGATCGCTATTCCATAAAGATAGTTGTAGTCTGGCCCAAGAATGCAAACAATTGGGCTACCAAGCCCATTCTTCATGCCAATCGTGTTATAATAGGAGTCCAGTATAGTAAAAGAAACAAGTTATTTATAACATGGCAAATTAATACTCACATTATGAGGGTTGGGTCTAGTAGAAAGGATTAATCTCCCATAATATGATAAATCAATATGCAAATTCCCACTAGGATAGGTGTCCACATTTAGTACCTGACAGTGTCTCGAATAGAATTACCTCCAATAAGAGGATACCTATACTTCAGCCAAAAAAAAAATACTCGCATTCTTGTTGAGATAGATATACAATTTCATGTCCACAATGCCTCAAACATGCCTCCAAAATTTTGTAGAATTTCTTTTACAAAAATTATTCCTCATGATTCATAATATAGAAGCTAGTTAGGGTTTAGTTTAAGCATAATTCTTAAATATGACACTTTAATTCATTTTTTTCTCTGCTTTTTTCCCAAAATTATCCATGTAGATGGTGCATATTAAAAGGGTTTTTATCAAGAGGTAGTTAACACAATTTTTTTTTCAAATAACATACTAAACTAATTTTATTAATCTTTATAATTTAGTTATTTAATTCTTATATTAAGATTGTGATTTGGTGTATCTAATCCAATGTTGTTTGAAAGTAAATGATGCAGAAGTAATATTAATTAGGTAGGTGTATTGATTAGTTGCATGTTGGTCCTTAATGATTAAAAAAACCTTAGGCAGTCACAAATCATAGTCAAATACTTTTAAGCCAACTTTTTCTTGTGATGATTATAGATGAATTATTTTATAGCAAATCCCATGAAATTTAATCACAATCTAATGCGAAACCTAGGTGGATTAACTTTATTAGATACGTCCACGTCCTAATTATCACATAATTAGTGAACCAAAATTATATAATAATTAAGACTTCCTTAAGAATCTACGTTAGAAAAGAAAAAAAAAGAGAGATTAACGAAAGCCACGAAAACCGGACTTTCTATAATACGATGTGTGATTTGAACTTAATTATTAAAATGTTGTCAGGAAAAATCACTACATATCACCTCGCATAATCACATGATTAAATCGGCATGTTTGGGGTTTAATATTATAAGTAAAGTGGTGGGACAAGGTCTGAAGTTGGAAGAAACAACTGTAATATTCCTGTTCATAATATAATATAAGTCCTTTCTTTTTATTTTGCCTTGGCTTAAAATACAAGTAAAAATTTATAATATGTAGACTATTTAACTTTGTAAGTAATTTACATTAATTTACTATAATGTAGTACTGACTCTTGTCTCCAGAGTATATTTGAAAAGCTTGAGAAATTCTTTACATATTTAATGTTATATCTGCCTTTTATTTTTTTTAATTCTATTTATAAAATACTTTTAACATATTTATCGAGGTAAAAAATTTAGGTAGGTGTGATTTAGAAATTCTCTGCATATTTAATGTTATACTATTTCGAGTTCTTAATATAAGATTCAAGTTCACTCTATCTCTCATATTTATCCATTATATTCCTAGATAATCATTCTAATAATGGTAGTTCTAGCCAATAAATTTGATTAGTAAAGATATTTTAGAAAAAGCAACACATATTTATTACAAATAACTAATTTAATTTATTTTTTTATTTACTCAAATTAGTCAATTAACTCTTATTTAAGACTGTAGGTAGTATCTACTTTTTTATTTTTCAATTCCATTTATAAATTACTCCTAACATGTTTATGGAGGAAAAAACTTAAACCTTATTAACTCTATTTTAAAATCTAATAATTTCTCATCCAATAAACTGTCAACTTAAACTATACTCTATATATATACACACACTAACAGAATAACAGTTTGCACTGTATAACAATAAATTCTAAGTAAATTTTACTCAAAAAAATTTATAAGTAAAATTGTACCTTCAAATAATAAATTTAATGAAATGACTAATATTATAGATAAAAAAATCTCTTTTTGGTCTACAAAAAAAAAACCAGAGGAATAACTAATATTTTTTATCCATTTTTAATACTCCCTTAGATCCTAGATACAAATAACAACTAACCAAATCACATAGGTCATAATATTGGTTAAAATTAATTAAAAAAAATAAATGTACACAAAATGTTTACTTTACATAGAACGAAGGGAGTGATTAAACTAGACTTATATTGTGAATCAAAAGAATGGTGTTAATAAAAATTAATTAGGATTACAATATTGTCAAAGGGAGCAGACATAAGGGAACAATGTGAAGGAA